GCCATATTTCTATGGTGGCAACCAGGACCCAGTTGCGTGGTTAGAGGATTTCACCAGATCCTGTAATGCAAATGGTATTGCAAATGTACAAAAATTGGAAGTCGTACCAGCATACCTAAAGGGAGCTGCTTCTACTTGGTGGAATGCCAACCAAGCATTGCCGAATAATGATCTGAACAAGATTGTTGCGTGGACTGGCAACAATAACAATACGGATTTTATATTGAATTTCCCTGCCGCCTTCAGAATGCAAACCTTGATCGAAATCTGGACCACGGAATTGGAACAAAGAAGACAGCAGCCCGGCGAAGACGTAAACACATACGCCGCTGCTCTACAAGAATTATATAGGAGGTAGAGACTAACGCCTTCGCATATCCAGAAGCTATTAAAGCTCGTAAATTTGTAAACGGGTTGTTGCCTGACTTGTACGTCACCGTAAAACCACATAACGATCAAACCTGGAACGCCGCAGTAGACAGAGCGAAGGCCTATGAGTTAACCCATCAAGACCAACATGCGGTAAACGCCTATCTTAATAAATTCGCTCCTGCAGGCACTAATACTCAAACGGAAGACCTATACAAAGCCATTCAGGATTTGACTAGACAGGTACAACAGTTGAGTACCGGAAATAAGGGATATAGGGGAAACAATTATCGAAATCAGCAGCAAGTGACGCCACAGCAGCAACAATAGTTAAATAGAAGGATTGTTTGTTACTCTTGTGGACAGCCTGGGCACATAGTAAGGAATTGCCCTGACCGAAATAACAATACGACATCAGTCGCAAATAATGGTGAAGGAAGATCTAATCCTCAACCAACTAGTGTTGGCAATCAACAATAATCAACTCGCCCAATTACAACAATTACTAGCCCAATTAGTCCCACAAGAAACTGATAAGGATCAGTCTTTAAACTAGAAGGCGTACCTCATGAGGGTGAGAGTACAAGCCAACATACAATTCCCTCAAACCTCACATTATTAGAAACCTATCCCGCCACCAGAACTACGAGGAGCAAGGCAAGGTTAAATACTTTGGAAGGAATAGCAAAGGATAAAACGTTAGAAGAGGATGAAGCTCAGATACGGGTTACGCAATTTCATCCGAAAAAGAAACAACCTATAAAGACTGCAGAGCCCAGAAGAACGGTATTACAAAAAAATACCAAGAAGAAACCCACCACTACCGCTCAGATCAATAAAATGGTCGAACCCTATACCCCGCAACAGTTTTTCGACCAGGTAGCCAACATCACGAATGGACAATTGTTGGCGATGAATCCTAAGTTCAGTCTAACGATAGCAAAACAGCTACGAAAACAGGTCATACGAAAGAAAGATGAGGATTCCGAGAAAATTCAAACCAAAAACGCTGTTAATAACGAGACGCCAGAAGACGGAGGTATAGCGGAACTACAAGATTTGATGCAGGCGAACACATCAAGTAACAGCAAGTCCTCCGCCTTATATTGTGACGCCTCGATCAAACATATACAATTTCCGTTGATCTTGGATTCTGGATCCGCCGGTAGTATTATCTCACTGTCTTTGTTAAAAGATCTAGATATGGAGATAACTAGAGCATCAAAAACGGTAATGGTAAACGTAAATGGTGAACGGCGAAGACCACTAGGAGCCGTATCAGATATTCCTTTAAAAATACACGATCAGATCATCCCTATGGACGCTATCGTGACTGATGCTGATTCTTACGCAGCAATAGTCGGTAATGACTGGTTGCAAAAAACTAAGGCCATCTTGGATTATGATAATGATACTATGACAATTAAATGGAAAGGTGATGTAATTAAAGTATCAACCGAATGTCGGAAGACGCCACATCACATCATCAGTATCGAAGTACCGGATATAGAACCCGATAAGGAACCAGATGATGAACCGGATGATGAAGCTATAGAAGATTCTGATGAAGAATACGAGAGTGAAGATGAAACCACTCAAGAGCAGCTATACTGTCATAAGCAGTTCATCACCCAAAAGGAAGCCCAGGAAATCGAAGATGGACTAAGGGGAACGGCTCTGATCGAAAACGATTATTATTACCAGTATAAAGAGATCGAGATGGGAAATTTCCATACCAGAACTTTGGATGAGAACAAGAAACAGCAATTTCATGAATTCATAAAAAAATATAATAATCTGTTTGCGTAGAACTCAAATGATTTCGGTCAAACATCAGTGGTTACACACACTATCGATACCGGAGGTGCGACCCCCATCAAGCAAAGATTTTACCGGACGTCACATCAGAATCAGTTGTTCATCAAAGAGGAAATACAACGACTCTTGGAGGCCAGTCTAATTGTGCCATCAAGTAGTCAATGGACTTCTCCTGTGGTTGTAGTAGAAAAAAAGAACGGGAAGAAGCGCCTTTGTGTGGATTATCGGAAACTCAACAAGGTCACCAAAAAGGATTGCTATCCTTTACCACGAATAGACGATATGTTGGAGACATTATCAGGATCTCGATGGTTCTCGTCCTTAGACCTTGCCAGTGGCTTTTGGCAGGTCGAATTGGACCCAAAAGATCGAGAAAAATCAACGTTCATCACCAGGTTCGGGACGTATGAGTTTACCGTGTTGCCTTTTGGCCTCTGTAACGCTCCAGCAACCTTTCAACATCTAATGGATATGGTGTTACAAGACATTCTTTGGCAGTTCACGGTAGTATACATCGACGATATTAATGTAGGGTCGAAAACCTTCGAAGAGCATTTGGTGCATCTGGAACAGGTTTTCTCACGTCTAGAGAAGGCAGGTTTAAAATTAAGTCCTGAGAAGTGTTTCTTTTTTAAAGAAGAACTTCCTTTCCTAGGACATGTGGTGAGCCGAAAAGGCATCCATACCGATCCTGAAAAATTACGCACCATCAACGAATTTCCCATTCCGAAAGACTTAACGCAATTAAGGGGATTTATTGCGCTGGCCTCGTATTACCAGAAGTTCGTGAAGAACTTCTCGTCTATCGTTGAACCGTTGAATAGGTTATTAAAGAAAAATATCCCGTATATTTGGGATAAAGATCAACAAGCCGCGTTTGAAAAATTAAAGACTTGTTTAACAATGCCACCTATATTGGCGTATCCTAATTTCGAAAAACAGTTCTTGTTATATACAGACGCCTCTACTTTTGCGTTGGGCGCAATATTATCCCAAAAGGATGACGATAAAAAAGAACGCGTCATTGCTTATGCGAGCAGGACTCTAAATAAGCATGAACGGAACTATAGTGTCATGGAACTGGAGTGTCTTGCGGTTATATGGGCCGTCAAGCACTTTCATCATTATTTGCACGGACAACGATTTACCGTTGTAACTGATCACGCCGCTTTAAGGTATTTAATGAACATGTCGAACCCTGTTGGTAAGCTCGGAAGATGGTTGATGACTCTTAACGGATATGATTTGGAAATAGTTAACCGCCCCGGAAAACAACACACCAACGTCGATACACTAAGCCGAATAAGAGTTTAATACAACCCATATTTTTTTTTATATATATATACACACCGGATTAACGCATTTTTTTTTTGACACCACTTAACGGACTTCCCATTATTGATTTAACGGAATGGATACCACCACATATTATTTATTAATACGATTTTTGACGGATTTATCATTACCAACAGACATGACGAAAAAACAACAAGATGCAATAAGAAGAAAAGACCGATACTTTATTGTATTGAATGATCAGTTATACAAAAGAAATAAAAACAACCCAAATAGACCTATTAAGGTTGTGAAAGAAAACGAAATTGGAGAAATTTTACATTTTACCCATTCAGATCCGCTGGCCGGACACTTTTCCTTGGACAAAACCTATAGGCGAGTAAAGGTTAGCTATTACTGGCCACAGATGTACGAAGATGTTCGTAGATATGTAAGAACTTGCGACGAGTGCCAAAGAAAGGAGGAAATCGACGTGTAGAACCTCTACACCCGATCAAAGTTGGAATGCCTTTTGACAGGATAGGCATAGATATCGTAGGACCCCTTCCCACAACAAAGAAAGGCAACAAGTATATAGTTGTTGCCACTGAATATCTTACCAAATGGCCCGAGGCACGAGCCCTTCCTGATGCAAAAGCTTCTTCAGTTGTGTCTTTTTTCTATGAAGACATAATCTGCTGCCACGGGTGCCCAAAAGAAATATTAACCGATCGTGGGTCCCATTTTGTTAATGAAATGTTGGATTCATTATGTGATGAGCTTGGGGTAAAACATCGATTATCAACTGCCTATCACCCCCAAACAAATGGTCTTGTGGAGCGTTTTAATAGGACATTGTGTGAGGCGTTGGCGAAATTTTCAAATGAAAATCATGATGATTGGGACATGTATGTGTCCTCTGCTTTGTTTGCATATCGTGTAAGAAAGCAAAGCACCACGCGTCACGAACCATTTTATCTCATGTATGGAAGAGATGCCGTTCTACCTGTAGATTTTGCAGTAAAGACTATGCAAGCTGAACTGCATGAAGGAGATTCACAAGATGATTTATTGGCTAGAATACGCATGCTTACTGGAAGAGTCACAGAAGACAGATTGATGACTCAAGACGCCATATATGAAGCACAACAGCAGCAGAAGCAGCGTCATGATGAAAATCTTGTGAGAATATTTTACAAGATTGGTGATCTTGTATTATTATATAAAAGTCAGCTGAGGGGAAAGAAAAAGCTGCAAGACCGTTGGAAGGGTCCTTATTACATTCACGAGGATTTGGGGAACGGAGTTTACAAATTAAGGACATTACAAGGAGACATTTTAAAAACCCCAGTAAATTCGGAACGTCTGAAACTTTACAATCAACGGTGATAACGTAATGCATATATGTACATAATGTATTACAAATAATTAGACCGAAGATCATTTTTTTTTGGGGATTAATATGTTTAATGTTTAATGAAAAAACATATATATATACATTTTTTTTTATCATTTTTTTTATTATTTTTATTATTAGTATGGAACCCTATCAAAGTATCCTAAAAGATTTACTACAAACAACTCCAGTTGAAGTGACACCTTTTCCACTTCCCTATGAACCTAATATGAAGCCTGAAAGAAAATTTGAAATTCTTTGTGATGCTTTGAACCGGATTAAGCATTTTAACAATCGGCTTTTACTCCTTGTTCACTTATATTATTTGGGTCGATTTTTGGAAAAAGAAACTGAGTCCAGTGTGCAGCGCAATTACTTTGTGCGACAGTTAACTGCACATTACAGGACCTCTGCTACTAGGATTTTTTATATTTTCGAAATTCCAGGAGCCAAACAAATTATGAGAACTAAAAAGACCAACGTATCATTGCTGAGAGAACTTAACACTCAAGAATATCAAGGTTTAGTTCTGCGAGCTTCGGAAATTTTCAACGGAGTTGAAAATTAGGGAGGGGATGATGTCATGTGATCGTCATGTGCCACTCCGAAATTGATCGATGTTGCAAATGTTTAACTTGATTGACATGTCGGACATAATTAATATGCCGAACATGATTAACATGTCGAACCTAATCAACATGTTGGTTATGATCAACGTATTGAACATGTTAGTCATATTATACATAGTAAATATATTAAATTTCTTCTTATATGTATAATTTATTATAAATATAGGTCAATTTTCTTGTTGTAATGAGGAGGGAATAAAAAAAAGTTTTTATTTAAGTTATAAATTGATAGTTTTTTATCAAGTGAAATCCTTTATTCGTGTTTGGAAGTATATGCCGACATACAGCGCTATACAACACGTCTGATCGGATAATTTTGATATATTGTTTGTCTATACACTACATAAACCTTCTGCTACCTAACCATATAAATTGCTTAATATTTTTAAGCGTAAAAGAACTGATACAACAATAGCATGGGATTTAAGTTACACAATTCAAATTATTTATACGGAGACTAATCCAAACGTCAGACAAATTTTTTTAGTTATAATTATATTTTTCGTATTTAAATCATCAGATATTTGTATGTAATAAAAAATTTAAATCATATTTTGTTCAAATGATTGAAAAAATTTTATCACTTTAGAAGCAATACATTTACTAAGGAACGAAAAATACTATCAATCAAATTATCAAAATTTCTTGTCCAATGCAATGACTACGAAAAGCGACAATAGGAAGAATTATAAGGAATTCTAGCATAAAAGTATTGGGTTAAGCACAGGTTAAGCAATATGAATGTTTTGCTGCAGTTACTTCACAGATTGGCAAACTTACCGAGATTTCGGAGATTATGTATGTGTCTTTGAAAATGGGAAGAAAGTCTTTGGCGAAGTGTTTTTGTTTATTCATGCTGACCACAATACAATGACTGAATTTCAATTATAGATTTCATGAAACAAGGTGGGACACAAGATAAATTATTATAATATATAATACATACTGCTTGTAATTTTATTTATCTAATCGATCAAGGAACCTTTTCGTCATGGAACCGATTTTGTTATCAACATTTTATTACTAACGTGAAAAATGAATAGCGACTACGCTATCATGTAAAACAACGTAATATCTCGTGTGATTATTTCTGAGTGACCAATATATTTTAACTATGCGGATTTTTTTTCTTATATATGCTTTGCCAAAATATCACTTTTCAGATGTGTCATTTTTTCCCAAAATAAAAAAATGATTCCAGTTCTAAAATTTGTTGTGAGAATTTTTAAAGGATTTTAATAATTCCTGTGATTCCGCATCGGGTTACAAAAATAATAATTAATCTTGCATTTTCCGTATTTAATAAATTTCTTTATACCGTATTAACTTTTCTTTGTTCATTTTCACTTTGATTAATTTAAGGAATGGTTACACTTCTCCTCTTACACAAAGTGGTAAAATTGTTGTTGATGACATACTTTGCTCGTGCTATGCTGTTGCTCCACCTTATCAAGCGATCATCGATTTCGTAATGATTTCTTTCCGTCTATACTCATGGATCATGTCCATTCTGATTGTAATAACAGATAAAGAAATTCATCCTTATATTCGTCACTTGAAACGAGGTCAATGGATTCTCGAACAGATAGATTAAACGCAAAATAATTCAGATTAATTTATACTGGATTTAATTTAAGCAAATTTCTAACCACATAATAATTGCTAAGAAGCTTGTCTTAATAAAATAGCTTAACCTGCTTGAGCTCAAACTGTATTGAGCTGAACCTAGTAAGCTTGAACCGTTGAGCATTTTAACATCCCTATAAAAGAATTTGTACTATTTGCAAAAATAATAACGTAACTTTCATCAACTTGTATGTACAGATTCAATTTTCAACCAATAAAAGTTATAAAAGTTAATAATACTATATTTTCAATAAATTTAATAATAGATAGCGTCACCGTAATATTCCTATTGACTGATGGAGGGATATCGGTCGAACAACCGGCAAACTCTATTCCTACATCCAATAACTATTTATTGTTAAATTATATTTGATATATTTTTTATAGAGTTAGTAGAACACCATTTTTAGTTTTACCAATATAAATGAATTGACAACCCGCTGCACCTGCTGCATTTGTAGGTAGGGATTGGAATCGATTAATCAAAAATTGACAAAACATAGTAAAATCGATTCTCGAAAATCGATTCTCAGCAATTTTTTACATGTAAGTTAACCTGACTCCAATTTTCATGCCGGCCAAGTGCTGATCATTTTGCTGAAATTATAAACTGATTCTAAGTAGGGATGGCAACGGTCGGTCATGGTCAGTTATCGGTCATGACCGGTCAAGAACCTTTGACCGACCGACCGTTTGACCGACCATTTGACCGATCATTTTTTTTATATTTTCGCAGTGTTTTTATTACAGCAAATTTCAAAATATACGGGACACTTGAGAAATTTGATTGTCGGGTTGTCGGGTAGCTGGGTTACTCAGCAGTAGGTTGTTTATTAGAAAAGTATAAATAACACGTGACGTCGTGACGAGTATAATGAATAGTAGTATATCAGATTATATAATAACCTACTGCTGAGTAACCCGGCTACCCGACAACCCGACAATCAAATTTCTCAAGTGTCCCGTATATTTTGAAATTTGCTGTAAATTTTTCATAAAAAAATTTGGTCGGTCAAACGGTCGGTCAAACGGTCGGTCAAACGGTCAGTCAAACGGTTGGTCATAAGTCTTGACCGACCGATATCGGTCACGGTCATGACCGGTCATAATCCGTGACCGTTGCCATTTCTAATTCTAAGTCAGGTTGGTGTCTATAAGAAAAATCTTGAAAAGATTCCATTTTCGATTCCAATCCCTAGTTGTAGGTACTTGGCAAAGAATCTTAAATTTTGTTATAAATGAGTGTTAAAGTATACAAATTTTCTTTGGATAAATTTCAATTATCGCCATTTTCAAATGGTTGATGCTGTTATGTTTGGATAAAAAAAATGAAAACCGGAAAACCAGACAAATAATGGACGAAAACCGGACGAATATTGGTATTCGAATATTTAATCATAAATAAATAGCATCAACCATTTTGAAAACGGCTGTAAAAATAAGTAGGCTTTCAAAGGTTAAAGATAGATGATCGATTTAATAGCAAGTTAATTAGGCAACATTAATTTACTGTATAAATTATTTAAAGAGATAATATATCACACAATTTCTAAAATGGTGAAGAATCGATGCTGTATTGCTTCATGAACTGAAATACTATAATAATTTCTTAGTGTTTAATAACTTTCACTTTAGTTTAAAATAATTTGTAGTATAATAGTAATAGTAAATTTATTCTTATCGTTGGACGAATATATTAAGAGGAAATGAAAAATTAAGACAATTACGATAAAGAAATTTTTTAAAGAATTAACAGCAACGTTATAAAAATCTTTATAAACACTTATTTGTACCATATGTACAGTATATTAAGATTGATAATTAAAGTTTGATTTTATTACTACAACTCTTTTATACAAATAGGTTTTCTTGATATCACTTAAAACTATATTTATAATTATTGAGAGTTTCATATCATTAAAAATTCTCAACATATTTATTATATAATAAAGTAAGATTTTTTAATTTCCCGTAATTCGTATCAGAATAACTCTTTGAGCAAACCCCAGATAATCTTCAAAGTTATTGTGAAACTTTTTTAAATAGATCGAGAAATATTTAAATCATCGAGAAATTCTACTATCCTGCGACCTCTACTTAAAAATTTAACATAAGGATGAATCTCTTTATCTAGATAATTAGAAGGAAAAATTTTTGTGTAGATTTTTAATGGCGCAAAGACAAAATTAAACAAGGCTTGATAAGGAGGTGCAGAAGCATAACAAGAACAAAGAACCTCATCAACAAGAATATTTCCACTACGAGTCAAGGGACTATAATAACCTTTTCTTCGTTCCTTGTTGAATGAAATAAAGGGATTAGATCTTGATCTACTAATTGAGTAACTAGTTAAAAATTTTCAGGAAAAAAAAAATGCTAACTTTTGATATACGGGCTGAAGTAACGGGAACCAATTTCTCTCCGTTAGAAATAAAAAGTTGGGTTTTGTTTGGTATAACATTTTTGGCAAAATCGGTTCCACCACCATTCACGAAAATGTGATGTTCAGGAGTAACGCAAAGGGTTCCTTTGTAAATTAAATCGATGAGAGTAAAAAAATCTAGGTAACATATTAATACTGTATATTAATGAAATAATTACCTTGTGATCCATCTTGTTTCATGAAATCAATTAATTGAAATTCAGTCACTGTATCGTGGTCAGCATGAATAAATAAAAACACCTCGCTGAAGATTTTCTTCCCATTCTCAAAGCCACAACATACATAATCTCCAATAACAAGTTCCGAAATGTTGGTAACTTTGCCATTTTGCAAAGTAACCTTTGAATCTGCAGCAAAACAAGCTTCTCCAAGCTCCATATTGACAGCTGCATCTGAACCAGCTTTTGCGCGTAATTGCTTAAATTTTTTTTTCGTATTTTCTCGTGTTTCCTTCCATTGTCGCAATTCACTATCATCGTGAAAGCCTTCTCTTGCTATAGCTTGAAATTGTTCTTCGGTTTTGAGTTCCCATTGTTCAATTTCCTGAAGTTCTCTCTCTCGAGCAATGCGAACTTTTTCAAAGGAAGCTGTTGTATAGAAATCTGGAATATCAACAATATAGTTCTTGAGGTTTTTCACGTGGCGCTCAACAATTGGGTCGTCTGGTTCTTCAAAAATATCGAGATCAGGAGATACAGTGAATCTATTGTCAATACTATTGAGAAAATCCTTCTGTTCCTGGACCAATGAATTAAAGAGCAAGTCAGGGTCTTTTGTCGGAGCCTTTCTGCATTTTGAGAACACTACAATCATGTGGTTCAGCGAATCTTGACCAAGAAACTTGATAATTTGATTAATAGTATCTTTCTGTTCCTTAGTAAAACGTGTTGCTTCTAAAATGAGAAAACTTTTTCAATCATATGAAAAATTCTGTATAAAGGAATGCGAAATATTCCACATACCCATGACAAAAATAATGGCTTGAATTCCATAAGTGCATTGCAAGATTGCTTGGGCTGTTTCTTTCAAGATTTCTTGATTCGTTTTGCCGGTGTCAAAAATTCCAGGTGTATCAACAATATTGAACGTTTTATTATTTATCTTAATCAAAGCAGTTTGACATACTTGTGGCGAGGATTCCTTAAAAGTTTACATTATGTGAGAATATTGTCTGGATTAGTTTTAAAAGGCTCTATGATACTGTATATACTCTAATTACTCACAGCTGAGTCTGAAACAACAAATTCATTTCGACCCAAGAGCAAATTTCCTAAAGTACTTTTACCGGCACCTTAATTTTTTTTTTTTTTTTTTTTTTTTTTTTGAAAAAAAAAAAAATGAAATTATGTTTATAGTAAAACTGACACCACGTGCATAAATTCTTACCGGATTTTCCTACCAACAGTATGGCAGGAATATTTGAATTAGTATTACTTGAAGAGTCTTTCTGAAGAGACATCTTAGGAGATAAGGTTAAAGGTTTCTTGTTGATAACGAAATAAAAAACAAGGTTTGATAAAAAATGATAAAAATGGAAAATTCGAATACCATTATTTCCTAAAATAAGCATCAGCAAAAGATGCCACAAAAATTTCAAAACAATATGAATGAACAATACTAAAGCCCCTGATTGTGATAATTGGAGAGATATATTAGTATTAAGATGGCCAAAGTGTACATGGTTAAACCCATGTTACTTACCCAAAGTGTTATCTTAATGTGATATCTTCGTCCTACACTACAAGATGTACACGGACACAAGGTTGTACACAGTGGTACACCTGCAGAATTAAATAACTCGGGTATCATTTTCATTTTAATTTCTAACAATCTATACCATGAAGCTCAGCGACCGAATTTCGACTGACCCTTATTCTACGGCACCATCAATTTTACTAATTGGCAAAACAGGTGAGAAGTTTTGCGTTTAAAATCCGAAGGCAAAATTATTATTTGGCTCAACAGATTTAACTAGGTGCGGGAAAAAGTACATTGGCAAACACGTTGGTTGAAAAAGAAATATTCAAAACTTCGGATAATTCGGTACAGTAAATAACGTATGGAATTGGTATTTATTTGATTCATTGACAATCAACATTTTTTTTTTTCAAGGATTCTAGTACCCAGATTTGTCAAAGTGCTTTAGTCAGGTTGAATGGTAAGGAATATAATCTCGTCGATACACCAGGTATTTTTGATACACGGAAACCCGATGATGAAGTCCTAAATGAGATTGCACGGTCAATTGTCCAATGTAGTCATGGTATAACGGCGATTTTGTTTGTTATGGGTAAGTTCTTGCAAGAATTGACAAGTACATTATTTCTATAATCTGAATGTTTATTTGTATACAATAAATTTCCAAGCTGGAGGCAGATATACAAAAGAGCAAAAAATTACAACTGACACAATTCTGAGATTCCTTGGTCGAGAAGAATCTTGTCGTCACGTAATTGTTGTTTTTACTAAGTGTAGAAAGAGACAAACTAAAGACCGACATTTTATGGAAGAAAGTTTCAATGACGACCTCAAATCATTTTTGGACAAGGTCGGAAACCGTTGGGTTATTTCGCCAGATCCAGAAATATTTGACGAACCAAATGATCCAGTTGTGGAGCGTCATATGAATGACTTAAGATCTTATATTGGGTTAATGCCAAAGCCCTATACTACAGAATTGTTTGATAAAGTTAGAATTGCACGTGAGAAAGAACTGCAAGAAATTGATTCAAATGAAACAGAAGAACAAATAGATGCAGGATTAGAAGCAGCCAAGGAAGGATTCCAAGAGCAAGGAGGTGGTTGTTTTCCTCTGCATTCAAAGGTTATCCTTGCAGACGGCAAAAGAATTGAAGTGTCACAATTGAACATCGGTGATAAAGTTTGTTGTGGCGAGAAAAATGGTAAATTGATTTTTAGCGAGATTTATGCAGTCGTCCATACAGACAATCAAACTGTGACTCAGTATCAACGGATCGATTATCTAAAGTCAGGCGGCACAGAAGGTGATAAATACATTTCTAATTAAATAATTTATTCTCAAATATTTTCTAAGCATGAATCACTCGTTTTTTTCAATAGGCACCCTACGTCTCACACCTAAACACCATTTATTCGTTTCTCAAGGAAAAACCATTTTCGCTGAGGATGTTCGAGCTTATGAGACTGAGCTCTTACTTTTTGATGGCAAAAAATTAATTCCTGTGATTCCACATCGGGTTACAAGAGTAATTAATTTTACGTTTTCCGTATTTAATGAAATTTTTTTATATTAATTAACCCTATTTCATTATGATTAATTTAAGGAATGGGAACTTGGTTACACTGCTCCTCTTACACAAAGTGGCAAAATTGTCGTTGATGATATACTTTGCTCGTGCTATGCTGTTGCTCCACCTTATCAAGCGATCATCGATTTCGTGATGATTTCTTTCCGTCTCTACTCATGGATTATGCCCATTCCTGAGTGTAAAAAAGAAATTCATCCTTATATTCGCTACTTGAAACGAGGTCAATGGATTCTCGAACAGATAGATTATTTTAACACGATTGTTAAAAGATTATGAAAGTAGTTTTGTTATACCAATGTTCTATTTAATGATCAATTTGACTTAATTTTATAAGCGTCTTTAAATAAAACATTTTTTAATCTTGTTGAATTTATTTATTGTTATAAATGTTCACTGTTATTCCTATGCGTGATATGTGGTCTTCTCAATGATATTAAATTGATTCTGGAATTGGACGTGTATTTAAAGAGTACGTTAATTGAATTAACATTGATCATAGACACAGTACTGTATATGATTATAACTAGATTATTCTCTGATGTGGATTTATCCTTTTTGATGTCACGTACGGTAGTTTTTTTCTTTTTTGACTTATTGATGTATATATCAGTAATATCATTATGGAAAAAAATTTATAAATACATTATCAATTTTATTCTCAGTTTTTAATTGTCTACACATCTTTATTATGATACCTTAAGAATTTACAATACTTGGATTTACAAATTTCATATTTCATTATATCACGAGTAAAGATTTAAGAGAAACAACAATGTTGATATCTATTTAGTTATATAAACAATTCTAAACAATGATAATAATACTACTCATGAAATTATTGGTGAAATGGTTGAAACAGCTAACATTAGTACATTCGCTAACTTAAGAAGTAACTTTTGAATCTGTAACAAAACATCCTTCTTCACCAATCTTCATATTAGTAGCAGATCTCAACCCAACATTTACACGTAATTATTAATGATTTTTGTCGAAATTTCTTGTATTTTTTCTATTGTCGCCTTTCATCATTATTGCGGAGGTATTCACTTTATGCTATAGCTTGAATTTATTCTTCAATTTCGGCGTTCCTATTCTTCAATTTCCTGAAGTTCTCTCTCTCGAGCAATGCGAATTTCTTCAAACGAAGTTTCTCTGTATAAATTTTATGTGAAACGTGACAATTGAGTCAACTTGTTCCTCGATTAGGCTATAATAAATCTGTCGCTAATACTATTGAGAAAATATTTTTGCTCTTGAAACAATGAATTTGATGTTGAAGCCTTCCTGCATTTGAGTTGATAATTTGATCGATAATAAGTTTCTGCTCCTTGGTAGCTTCTAAAATGAGGAAACTACTTGTGTGCAAAGAACATGAGAATCCTACACACTCGTGACAAATATAATCAATAAGACATAAGCGCATTGCAAGATTTCTTGGGCCGTTTCTTTTGATTCCTTTTGCCAATGTCAAAATTCTGAGTGTATCAACCAACAATGATGAACGTTTTCTTATTTATTTCAATCGAGGTGGTTTTGACCTACTTGAAGCGAAGATTCCTTAAATGTTACATTAAGGGAGAATTTCGTTCAGATTTATTTTTTAAAGTCTATGTTGTTCATTATAATTACTAGCAAACGAGTCTGAAACAACAGATTATTCGACTCAAAAACGAATCTCCCTTATACCTTAAAATTTTTTTTTTAAAAAAAAAAAAAATAAAAAAGAATTATTACAAAATTATTATAAAATGAATGATATTTCGAATAGTATTCCTCGAAGAGCTTGGCTGAAGAAACAGGAGATTATTTACTTCAATTAAGAATTTTTATAAATATAAGCATCCCTTCATTTTTCTCATTTTGGAAAAAAGGCGCATTCAGTGCTACACAAGCAGAATTATTTGATAAGATTTTTTTTTTTTTTTTTTCGACAATAACGTTATGTCATCGAAGCTTTGCGACCGAATTTCGACTGACCCTTATTCTACGGCACCAACAATTTTACTAATTGGCAAAGCAGGTGAGAAGTCTTGCGCATGAAATTCGAAGGAAAAATTATTATTTGGCTCAACAGATTTAACTAGGTGCGGGAAAAAGTACATTGGCAAATATGTTGATCGGAGAAGAAAAATTCAAAACATCAGAGGGTCTGGTAAGAAATATACGGTATCGGTATTTATTTAATTCATTGATTAATATTGACAGTCAGATTTTATTTTTCAAGGATACTTGCACCAATATTTGTCAGAATACTTTAATAAATTTGAATAGTAAGGAATATAACCTAGTTGATACACCGGGTATTTTTAGTACATATGGACCCAATGATGATGAAGTCCTGGGTGAGATTGCACAGTCAATTGTCAGATGTAACCATGGAATAATAGCGTTTTTGTTCGTTATAGGTAAGTACTTACAAGAATTTACGCAACAAATGAGCGTATTTTGTTTCTATATTATGAATTTTCACAATAAAAATAAATTTTCAAGCTTGGAGTAAATATGATAAAATGGAACAGATGATCAACGACATAATCCTAAATTTCCTTGGTTGAGAAGAATCTTGTCGCCATATGATTGTTGTTTTTTCTAAGTGTAGAAAGAGACAAACTAAAGACCGATATTTTATGGAAGATTGTTTCAATGACAGAATCAAATCATTTTTGGACAAAGTCGGAAACCGTTGGGTTATCTCGCCAGATCCAGATATGTTTGAAGAACCTAAATCAGTTGTGGAGCGTCATATGAATGACTTAAAATCTTATATTGGGTTAATGCCAAAGCCCTATACCACAAATTAGTTTTGGAAAATTAGAATAGCACGTGAGATAAAACTACAAGATATTGAAGATGCATGTCGAAATCAGTGAATTTCGTCATGTCGAAATTGTCGAAATTATTTCGGCAATGACCTTTTATTTTCGTCAAGCAACTTTAATTGAAATGAAGATTGGAGATGAATTCTTGTCAGATCTATTTAATAATTAATAAATTTTTGATTTTAATTTTATGATAATTATTAAATAATTGAGATTAAAATTGAGCAAATTTGTAATAATTAAATTGCTTATGTTTTGTTCATTATAGATGTTATAGTTGTAATGATGCTCTCTCCTTGATCACAAAAAAAAGAATACGAGATCCAGTATTAATAATCAAAAATTAGAATGATTACGATGCTATAATTTAAATTTACTTTTTCGTTTCGAAGAATCTGAAATATTTGGAGTTCATAAAATTAGACATTAGTGAAATTAGCAACTTGAAGTATATATATAAATTGACATGAATATTGTAAAAAAATAAACCAATTTTATATTATTCATCGATTTTATACGCGATCTTAATAATAATACACGTCAAATTTTCTATAAAAAATAAAATGACATGGAATTAATTCTGAAATTGAGTATATATTCAAAGGGTTTACTTATTGAATAATCGTGCTTAAATTGAACGTGTTGGTATCTAATTGACATTGTAAAGTATCCCATGCCTAGGACATTTCGGGATAATTATAACTTTTTTCTAATAATATGCTTCATTTATTATTTTAAATTTGATTTAATAATAGTACATTGAATTTACTTATTAATAAAAATCAACGTTATTAAAGAAATCAAAAGAAAGTAAATAAATAAAAATTATAAAAATTTAAAAAATCGTATCAGTGTGACAGTAGAAGAACGGATAATATGAAAATCAAAGGAAGATGGAAAGATAAAAAATAATAAAACAGGCAGAAAACGTTGCTAGTCATTACTAAAGAGCCTGATCAAAAGATTTAAGGAAATAAAAATATTGTTAGAGATGAACAGAAATTTAGCAGAGGAAAAAAAGAAAAAAAAGTTACACCTACCGCTGTAGAGCCCAGTCGAAACTTGTAGAATAAATCCAACCGAAACGAAACAAAGAAACAAAACGAATTCACACGCTATCTTGAAGAATTCCTAAAAAAAGAACGAAATGGAGAACAAAAACAAAACAAATAAAATAATACCAAACTGCCGCGTAAGAAACTCAGCTGAAGCTCAAAAAAAGAAAGAAATAAAAATCATTTAAATATAGTAAAAAAAAAATACGAACCTGACTCGTCATCTTGAAAAGCGAATTCCTAAAAAAAAAGGAATTATCTTTATTTCTCCCTTCTTATCGAAAATGGTTTCAAAATTATTAACAAACGTATTATCATTTTATTTGAAAATTTATAAATTATTTATTAAAATGTCTTCGAGCACTTTGATGAATTAGGTTCTTGAATCCGGAGAGTTGAAGTCAACCAAAGACACTTGATTAACAAATTTTGCCTTGGTAAGTCCTTTTAGATTTTGTCATGATATTTTGGTGTCATATTCATGCGAATTGTATCGAAGAGATGAAGTAAGAAATTCTTTTTTTTATTTTTTTTTAAAAAAAAATGATTTGATTATCGGCATCTTTCCGGACATATAAATCCCGGAAAATGTCCCGGACCAGCTATATTCGCGCAAAATCCAGTGACGGTTCCGTGTACAACACTCAGTGATTGGACGAAAACAAAAATTTTCTAATTTTTACCGAATTAAAAAAAAATTTATTAATCCTTTTTTTTACAAGCTAAACGGTAATTTTACTACTATCCAATCATTTTTTTATGAAACTCTTAAAAGTCTGAATAATTTGACGGATATATTTTTAATGATTTTATAATTGGCAATTTGACACAACTCGTTGAATTACTGATATTTTAAAAGTTTTACTTTTAAAATATATATTCGAGAATGTTATGTTTAGCATCACACGCATATGAAAATATTTTGTCGAAAATGAGTATAATAAACAATTTGAACTTTATCATCAAATAAGTTTTCAATCTAAGTATTCAGCAAATTTATACAGGTTTTGTGGCAAATCTCCAGATAAAATATTTGAATTACTCGATTTCACATTAACATTTTAAAATCAATAATTATTATCACTTGTTGCACTTTTTGTTAAACTCTTATTTTGAATGCGGAAAATAGATATGAAATTATACATTATAATGTATGCCTTGGAAATGATGATATCAAATATATTAAAAATCAGCTAGTAAAAGGTTATTAAGTTAAACTTACATATTGTTATGAAGTTGAAATTTGAAATGAAATTAATAAATCAACAGAAATATATAACGAGGCGGTTTTAATAGAACGTAGGGATACTATATTGCATCATCCCTATAATAATATATTATAATGGTTATTTTTTAATTAGTATTTATTTTCATATTAATAATTGTTATAAGTTGCAAGTCTGTTCGTTATTAAATATTTTATCTTTAAACATTTAATATCTATCGTCAAAAATTTATTGATTTTTTTTTTTTTTTTAATATCATACATTTTTTACTTTAACGCGAAAGTGCGAAATCTCAAATATTTTGTATGGTAATGATTAAATTATTTTTTATTTATAATGAAAAGTAAGGTAAAAACAAGGAATGCCAACAAGTAAAAAAATTATGATAATATTGTTAGGAATTCGCGAAGTTATTTATATTCGAAACGTGATTGACTTTTTTTTTTAGATTTAAAGTTTATTCATGTATACTGATTCAGAAAGACCAACAAGTTTTGTGAGAATGAGCGTGTATTTTAATGTAAATAATTCATAATGATTTTTTTTTTTTTTGGTAAATTTCGCTTAATTTCAGATTACGCACGTGATCTTAAATGATTGCCCATAAAAACGTGACTTAGTAAACCTTACCCTTACCTTTAAAATGTTGAACCCTTTCCTGTAAAAAATTGAATTGATAAATTTTTTAATTTATATTCCGGATTTTTTTACGAACTTTACAACTAATAAAATTATTATTTGTCATAAAATTTTAAAATTATAACAAATAATTCTGAATTTTAAACCCAAAAGTTGATAAGATAATAAAATAATGTAATATCGAAATTTTGTTCGTACGTATTTGAACATTTATAACCAATGATGCTGTATTACATAGAATTAAATCTGTTGTAACATGTAATACAAATTTGTTGACGGTACATGAAACTCTGTTCTGAAACCAACAAAATTAAAAGAAATATTTTGTTATGTCAGTTACACGAGAGAAGCTAATTAGTGTTGCTATTAGTACTAGATAGAGCGATTACATTAATAGATTATAATATTCATAATGATATAGACAAACAACATGAAATTATACAACAAACGGTTCTTGCTGCTGATAAATAAATCTTTTACAAATGATGAAAAAACTTATGCAATAAAATGAATAAACAAAACTACTGACAGAAATAAGTTCTTCTTAATGTGGGGACAAGAAGAATTTGTGAAAATTGTAACCAAGAATGTGTTTAGCTATATCATATTGTGAATATTATATTCGAAATTATTTAAAATTAAATTTTTTAATTTGGACTTCTGGAAATAATGATATTGATAATTTAATACAAAAATGTCAAATGGAAACAGATCAATCGGAGAAAAATAGTTTAATTGATTCCATATGATAATTTGCAAAGTATTAAATATCTAATAAAAGGTGGATTCTCGGAAAATTTATACAGCATTTTGGAATGATGGGATACTATGAAGCAACGATTAACAACAAGATTTAGAAATCGAAAAGTAGTATTTAAAAGATTAGATAATGTTGAAAGTGCAGATCAAAGTTGGTTTGAAGAGGTTTGTAACCTAATGAATCAGTAATTTATAATTATCTTATTAGTAATAAATCAACTAATATTCTTTTCTTTATAGGCAAAATCACATTTGGCTATAAGCAATAAACATCCAAATATTGTCCAATGTTATGGTTTAATGCAAGATCCATCAAATGCTTGTAAGATTTGAATTTAAGAGAATACTTACATCAAAACTATAATCAACTTACATGGAAAAGAAAAATTCAATTTGCTTATGACATAGCTACTGCACTCAACCAGATTCAAATGAAAATGCAATTCAATTTACATTTTAGAAATATATTATATTATTTATACAACTTGATCTGAGATTCTTTATTGCTTGGTGATTTTGGATTTCGTGGTCTATAAATAAAAATCATTAAAAAGTGATATGGAAATCTTCATTATATAGCTTCTACTATTAAATCTGAAATTTATAGTTTAGCAATGATTATGTGGAAAATTTCCTTTCCACTATTTATTAATCATGAACATGATCAATAACTTTACAATGAATATAATTAATGGTAGAAGGCAATAATAGTCCCAGTATCAGAAATTTCCTAAAATATAACTGGGATACTGATCCATCGAAAAGCCTGATATTTATACACTCAAGAAACATAACGAAAGAAATAATCTATCATAGCAAAATAGCGAAGTAAAAATAAATAGGACAATAATCTACTAGATTCAAATTTCACTATCGGCAAAAGTAAAATTCATAATTCTGAAAATTTCCTGAACCAAGAAATGTAACAGAAGGTATTATTAGTATATTATCTAGTTAAATATATATAACATTTATTTAGAAAATATATCATTAATTATACCTTTATTTTAACAGAAAAGAACTTGAAGGTATACATAAATTGATAAATTTTATTTATAATTATCTATTTAATATTTCTTTTAATAATTTTTTTAGTGTTTCATATGGCTCTCAAATTCCCTTTTGATGATAAATGTTTATTAATTTATATTTAAAAATAATGAGTTATTAATTGACTTTTTTGAAAATTTGAAACAGTCTGACGTTTAGAATAGTCTCCATATAAATAATTGTGTAATATGAAAATCGTGCCATAATATGAAAATCCCGCGCCTGATCTATTCCTTATTTATCACTAAATTGTTAAAGTACCACACATAAGGTAATTTATGATGTAATAATTTCTAATTATTTTTTTTATTACATATATTGATCATTACAACTTAAAAAAAAAAAATAATAATTAAGAAATTCTTCTCTTAGATATGACTTTTTTAGTAGAAATAGTAAGTTGAAGTTGAATGATTTCTTAATCTTTCATGTCATTATTCACCATGTTGTTTATTTAAAATAAATTCAATTGAAAATAACTAAAGAATCAATCATGTTTATATTGATTTTAAGTAAGATTTAAAAATAACTACAAATTAATAGTCTATTGAATAACAATCATTGATTTTTGTTTACCAAATTATTTGAATATTAATCAACATAATCAAGGAATATTATCTATTCATTAAGTATGACAATCAAATTGTATTCGCTGAAAAAAAAAATAAAATAAAAAATAAAATTAAAATTAGTAAGTACGATAATATTTTCTTTTTTTGGTTAAGAGGCGTAAAATACTACGCCTCAAGATCACAAAATTTATGTGGGCACAACATGAAGTTTGTTCAACAATTTGCATTTTACTAATTTATCTCGAACTTAAAATAATTCTTTCTTTCTTATTGATTATTACATTATGTCCACTCTTCGATATGGGTTAATCTATGCAACAAATAATAGAGCAATAACATTAACAGATAATAATATTTACAATGATATACACAAAAGATTTGAATTCCAACGACAAACAATCCTTGCTTATAAAATTCTTACAAATGATGAAAAAACTGAAGCGATAAGAGATTTAACTCAAAATTATGATCGAAATAAAATTATTCATAATTCAGGAACAAAAAGAATTTGTGAAAATTGTAACCAAGAATGTTTAGCTACACTATATTGTGAGTATTGTGTCCGAAATTATTTAAAAGAAAATTTTTCAAATTGGACATCTGGGAATGATGATATTGATAATTTAATACAGAAATGTCAAATGGAAACACTTATGCCAAATACGGTGGTTGAATGGATTCCATATAATAATTTAGAAAATATTGAATATTTAACAAAAGGTGGAATCTCAGAAATTTATACAGCAGATTGGATTAATGGAGAATATGATGAATGGGATTTTGGAAAAAAACAATTAGAAAGAGGTGGAACTTGTAAAATAATACTTAAAAGATTAGAAAATGTTGAAAGTGCAAATCAAAGTTGGTTTGAAGAGGTTTGTATAATATATTCTAAATTTATTATATAAAATTATGCAGACTTTGTATTAATATGAACATTTTTATAAATTATTGCTTTTTAGGCTAAATCACATTTAACTATAAGTAATAAATGGGCGGATGTTGTTCGATGTTATGGTTTAACACAAGATCCATCAAATGGAAATTATATGCTTGTAATGATGAAAAGGGATATGGATTTAAGAAAATATTTACAACAAAATCATAGTCAACTTACGTGGAAAAAGAGAATTAATATTACTTTTGAAATAATCAATGCAATTTTTTTTATTCATAAAGAGAAAGCAATTCATAGAGATTTACATTCTGGAAATATATTATATTCTCAACTTAATAATTCTTGGTGTGTTAGTGATCTTGGATTTTGTGGACCCGCTGATAAATCTTCAACGAGTATATATGGAAATCTTCCTTACATAGCACCCGAAGTTATTATTGGAAGAGAATATACTTTTGCATCTGATATTTATAGTATTGCAATTCTTATGTGGGAAATTTCATCTGGACAACCACCATTTATAAATTATGAACATGAAAATGATATTGTAATGAATATTATTAAAGATATAAGAACAAAAATAAAACCAGGAACTCCATTAGAATATAAAAATTTAATGAAAGAATGTTGGGATGCTGATCCATTAAAAAGACCTGACACTAATACACTTTGGAAAAGAATGAATAAAATTAATTTATATTATCAAAATATGTCAGATGAATTAATCAAATCAGAGATGGAAGAAATGACCAAAGTAGAAGAAAATTATACGAGTAGCAGATTATTTACAAGTAAAATTCACAACTTTGGAAATCTACCTGAACCAAGAAATGCAACAGAAGGTATAAATGTATAATATATATATTTATTTTAAAGTATATTATTAATATTATCTTTTATTATAATAGAAGAACAAGAAGGTATAACCATATAAACAATAATTTCTACCGTTTTTTGTTACCATAATAATTTAACTTTTAAAATACTTTATTTTACTACTAATAGGGTATCATAGTAAATTGTATGATTTTAACATTCCTAACAATAGTAAGTAATTATTAACATTATTACGGCATTGAATTATTACATAATGATGTTTAATAATTGATATTTATTTTAGTTGATGATTTTAATAAATCAAATAAGCGAAATAGCAAATCATCAAAAGTAATTACTATGATTAGAGGTAATGTATTATAATTATTGTCAAATCGAGATTAATTTTTATATTAAATCTATATCTTAATTTTAGGTGATAGTGAAAAATTACCCGAAGAATTTATAAAGTTACAAATAAATTCAAATGGTAAGTTAAATTACTAACAAATAAATCATCATTTTATCAAATTTATTTATTAAATGCGACTTTTATTTAAAATTTAGATGATGAAAAGGAAATAACTCAACATGTCGACGGTAGGTGAAAATTTTACATAATAACAAATAATTTTTATATTATTTTTAATTTAATTATTTATTTTCTTACAGATGATGACGAAGTATATAATAATCCAAATCTTCATTCAAAAGAACAAGTTGAACTGGAAATTCCTGATGGTAAGTTCTTAAATAAATTATATTTCTTTTTAAAGCAAATAATTAATTATAATTTATTATTTTTTAACTTAGATGGATTTTGAATCATTTAATGATGTTTTTTTTTATATTTTAAATTATTATCATTTATTTATTTTTTTATTTTTTTATCTTGGATTATTTAAACACTAAGACTAGAGTAGTAAAATTCTTAGTTTGTAATTTAAATAATTTTAATAAATTTATTCAAATTATTAAATGTATTTACTACCATATATTATTTAGGCGAAAATTAATTATCTTAACGTAAATTTATGTCATAAACATTGTAAAATCACGACAGATTATTCCATTCGTTATACATGAATTTATTAAAACAAGTTGAAAAATAATCTTTAACTTCATGAAAATAGTATGTCAAGAAGCGACATAAATTTTTACAATAACATCTTTGTTTAAACTTATAAATATTGATTTTACGTTAAAATTATTAAGATCCTTAGTTATTGATGGCATGCAAAACAATTCACACGAAACATTTTTTTTATGAAAATCGCAATAATCCTAATATTCGATTAATTATATTCAACACTAAGATTAGAATAGTAAGATTTCATATATAAAGTTTAATAGCCTATAATTTGTTATCTGATAAATTTTATTAGTAAATATACAGTATTGTAATAAACTTTAAATGAATTAGTATACCATTTAAATTATTCAAATTTTCAATGTTGATTTTGATTCTTCTATTATATTAAGAAAAAAAAGATTAATATTCGATGATAATATAAATTAAAGTCACTTTATTAGCTAAAAAATCAACGTTAATAAACAATACTTTAACGTTCTCCAATCTTATTACAAATTATAATAATTTTATTCGTGACATTAGAATTTTAACTATAATAAAGTTAATCTTAAAATTTGGTAATTAAAATTGTTAATAATAATAATCTTACACATGGTAATATAATTTACTAATGAATAAATCGTGAAGATCTTGGCAGAAATCGTCGTACTTGAATAAAAAAATTTTCCAATTCACGAAATCTGATCAAAATTTTTTATTAGCTTTTAGAAAAAAAAGTAGGTTATCTATAAATTAACCCCCTCAAAAAAAATAATTAAACAATTAAAAACTTCGATACATTAAAAGTTAAAGTCATCCATTGTAGCAAATTCGTCGAAGGCTTAATATCATATTTTTATCATACATTTCTACTTATCATTGAAGTGAATAATATCAGTATTGTAATAATTAAATTATTTTGATTTATCGAAAAAAAAGGAAAATTGAGGATTCTCAGCTCAGCAAATAAAAAAATTGTTAGAAATTCACGAAGATATTATCCCTTAAACTGTAGGGGCTTAAATTAATTTTAAAAATTTTTGAATTTTTACAATATCTAAAGATCTAGTGATCATAGAAAGATGAAATTATATTTGTTAGATTCCTCTTATTAAGGCGCATTTAATGGTAATAAAATCATAACTCTAAAATTGATAAATAAAAAGTTATATTAATTCATAAAATTTTAGGTTTTATAAGTTATCCTGTCACATAATATTTGTGAAAGGATAATTTTATTTCCATCAGATTCTTCTCATTAAGATGCATCAAATGGTGGTAATTTTATATTTCTAGGGTTAATAGATAAAAAGATATTTCAATTTAAAAAATTTAGCTACTATTTGTTATAATTTGTCGATCATTTACTTTTAAAAAATCATTAATCAAATTGAACTTTTTTTCGATTTTTATTTAGAAAATACTATAGAATTTATTATAAAAATATTGGTTTATGTAATAAAATATTTTAAGGTATTTAAAAGTGGCTTTAATTAAAAAACAAAATTGCAGGCAAATTTGGCTGCAAAACAGTTTAAGGGATAATATTCGAAATGTAAATATGAATTTTTTTGGTAAAGGTCACGTGATCTTAGACGATTTCCCATAGAAACGTGACTTAGTAATCCTTCCCCATTAAACACATGAATCCTGTAAAAATTGAATTGATAAATTTTTCAATTTATATTCTAGAATTTTTTACAAAGTTACAAATAGACAAAATTCAATATCTGTCATAGAAAATTCTTTCAATTCTAAATTATAACAAATAATTTTGAAGTTTAAATTCAAAAGTTGACAAAATACCTAAGCTTATATCGAAATTATTGCACGGTTTTATTTTTTATTTTATTTTCCATGCAAAAATTATAATCTAATGATGCTGTGCTACATAGAATTTAGGTTTGTTGTAGCATGTGATACAAATTTGTTGATCAAAAGGCGGCGGGTACAGCCGGTACATGAAACTCCGTTCCGAAACCCTTCTTTACAATAAAATTAAAAGAAATATTTTGTTATGTCTGTTATAAGAGTTGAGCTAATTAGTGTGGCAATAACTAGAGCGATTGCATTAATAGATTTTAATACTCACAATGACATTGACAAAAAACATGAATTTATACAACAAACGGTTCTTGCTGATAAATCTTTTACAAATGATGAAAAGACTTATGCAATAAGAAGAATAAATAAAGTTATTGATGAAAATAAAGTTAAATATAATAAGGGGACGAGAAGAATTTGTGAAAATTGTAACCAAAAATGTTTAGCTATATCATATTGTGAATATTGTGTTCGAAATTATTTAAAATTAAATTTTTTAAATTGGACATCTGGAAATAATGATATCGATAATTTAATACAAAAATGTCAAATGGAAGCAATTGATCCACGAAGAATAGTTGAGTGGATTCCATATGATAATTTACAAAGTATTAAATATCTAACAAAAGGTGGATTCTCGGAAATCTATACAGCTTTTTGGATTAATGGAGCGTATTATGAATGGGATACTATGAAGCATCAATTAACAAGATTTGGAAATCAAGGAGTAATACTTAAAAGATTAGAAAGTGTTGGAAGTGCAGATCAAAGTTGGTTTGAAGAGGTTAGTAACTTAATGATTCAGTAATTAATAATTATCTTATTAGCGATAAATTAACTAATATTCTTTTTTTTTTATAGGCAAAATCACATTTTACTATTAGTAATAAATCTCCCGATATTGTCCAATGTCATGGCTTAACGCAAGATCCATCAGATGGGAATTACATGCTTGTAATGAATAAAATGGATTTAAATTTAAGAGAATATTTACAGCAAAACTATAATCAACTTACATGGGAAAGAAAAATTCAATTTATTTATTACATAACTAATGCACTCAAGGGTATTCATGATGAAAATGCAATCCATAGAGATTTACATTCTGGTAATATATTATTTATACAAGTCAATCAAAGATTCCTTATTAGTGACCTTGGATTTTGTGGTCCTGTAAACAAATCATCAAAAAGTATATATGGAAATCTTCCTTATATAGCACCTGAGGTTATTGCTGGAAAAGAATATACTTTTAAATCTGATATTTACAGTATTTCAATGCTTATGTGGGAAATTTCATCTGGAAAGCCGCCTTTTAATAATTATGAACATGATTATTATCTTGCAATGAATATTATTAATGGTATAAGACCAAGAATAGTATCAGGAACTCCTTTAGAATACAAAAATTTAATGAAACAATGTTGGGATGCTGATCCATTAAAAAGACCTTACATTAAAACACTTAAGAAAAAAATAAAAGAAACTTACCAAAAATATCTGAATATGCCAAATGAACTAGAAGAAAATAATAATTTAGAAAGAAATAAAACAAATAGCTTAAAAGAAGTAAAAGAAACTAGCAGCATATTATTTACAAGTAGCAAAATTTATAATTTTGAAAGTTTTCCTGAACCAAGAAATGCAACAGAAGGTATATTATCACATATTAGTTACTAATTATCTTCATTTATAAATACTAATAATTAATATAATATGTTTTATATTGTTATTTTTTATTTAAAATTCAACAGGAGAACAAGAAGGTATAAATTGAACAATTTATATATCAAATCTTATTTATTGTTAACTATTTTTATAAATTTTTAGCATTTCATAGCAAATCATATGATAATTTTTATATCCCTGATAGCGGTAAGTATTTTATTAAATTCGTAATAAATTTCTTATAATAAAATCAATGCATTTAGATTTATTTTAGTTGATGATTTTGGCAAATCTAATGATCAGGAGAATTACAGCACATCAAATAAAATCAGTATTTTTAAAGGTAATTATTAGTATTTTTTGCATATTAAAAATAACTATGTAAATTAATATTAAATACATATCTTAAAAATTTTCTAGTTAATAATGCTGATAGTTAATTATACGAAAAATTTGAGAAACTACAAGTAAAAAATGGTGAGTAAAATAACCGATATAATGTACTAAATTGATCAAAAACATTTTGCGAAATATGATTTATTTATTTATTCATATATCTTTTCAAATAGATTATAATAGTAACAAAGAAATAATGAAACATCATTCTTATATTGATGGTATGTGAAATTAACTTTTGTATAACTGGAGTAATATTACTGATAATAATGATTTTTTATGTTCTTATTTATGGATGAAGATGAAGTGTATAATAATCCAAACCTTCATTCAGAAGAACAAGATGAATTTGAAATTCCTGATGGTAAAGAAAATTTTCTAAATGATGATATTTCAGATACTATTTATTCTTAAACCTAATTTGTTAATTTTTTTTCAATTTTTCAGATATTTAGATACGAATCACAAATTTTTTATGATTGGTATATAAAGTATTCTTCATATTTTTTTTATTATTTTTGAATTATTTTAAACACTAAGTCTAGAGTAGTAAGTTATCTTACAAAGTTTCTTAGTTTGTAATCTTTAAATAACTCAATTTCATATTTATTATAAATTATGGTTTAAGTGAATTTGTTTTGATAAACCAAAGTAATGAGAATGAAATTAATAACAGTCATCATGTCAATTGTCGCATAATTAATAAAATTACATTATCAAAATCCTAATTTTTTCCATCATTTTCACAGATGTAATATATATACTATAAGTGGTTAGACTAAATATTTTGTACCTACTATATAATCCTTAAATCTTTTCGCTATAACCCTTATATTTAGTACATCATTTTAATGGATGATCTTATAAGGATAAAGTTTGAAAGCGTTCTCAAAGAATGTATAAAAATTACCTCTAAGTGTATAAGAGAATAAGATTATTAATTTCGCAAATTAAGCAACTATATTAAATTATTTTCATTAACATAAAATTAAGTATTCTAATTGTACTTAATTTTTACGATCTAATTCAATAATTCGTGATAAGGAAAATTTCTTAAAAGATTATCTGATAATATTATGGTGAAATTATGTGCTCTAGAAAAATTTGACTAATTTTTGTGATTAACGGTTGTTAGAAGATTTATTTATCACATCCAGCAACTTCAAGAGATTTTATTCTGATAAAGGATACGATTATAAATAATGCACTTAGGATAACCAATAAGTTTAATATTGTACAGTATAGACAAATTAACATAATGGATGCAACTATTTATGATTTCGAAAAAAATAGCAATTTTTTTTTGTGGTTTATGATATTATTGCGTTTTTTTTCATTTTAAAGTTATTAATAATTATAATTATAGTTCTATCTACAAATTAACTCAAGTTTTGGTAAGTTGTGAATCCGTTAAATATTTTACCTTTAAATCAATTAGAACTCTAATATTTTACAAGATAATAATATCGTACCGTACATTGAGTATATAATGATTTGAAAATATCATTTAATTCATAGATTTTTTAACTTTAACGGTGAGGTACTGCACAAAAATATCAAATATTTCGTATGGTAACAGGTAACGATTAAATTATTGTGATTTATAATGAAAAAAAAATGGAAAATAAGAGTTAAAAAATTACAATAAATCCATAATGTTAATTTTCAATATTTGCAGTGCAATTAACTTTTAATTTGAATATTTTTGAAAAATTAACACGATTATTAATAAATCATAACATTTTAATTTATAAGACATGAAATATGATATATTAAACTTTCTCTCTTTTAAATCTTGGTTTCGAGGTTACATGACAAATATTTGCCATATAATCATGTGACTTAGCAAATTAACTTTACAATATTGAATCATTCCCTACTTAATTCCGGCCAAATCCGTAATGTACTACCTAGCATAACTGAAGCGGTCACGTGACTTTTCGTCAGGAAAATCGGGCAAATTCAGGCTCAGTTATTTACTTATTGGTAGGTTTTAACGTAAATTAGCATTAATTACATTAATTACTAATTTATTATTATTAATATTAACAAGTTTATAAGTACAATAATTCTTTACTTCCTGTTAATGGTTTGCCAGTTGGTTTTGCAAACAATTATTAAAACTTGTGCTCAAGAGTCTGCCCAATAAGCAGTAACTAGCTAAACTACAAAAAACGTTAGCGAAAATGTTTCTTATAGAAAAAAAAACTATTTTTTAAAGTTTTTAAAAGTAGATTCGAAAACTAGCCAAAGTTTCAGGTTCCAAGACTCAAACAAATTCACCGGAGTCCTTCAAAAGAAAAAAAAAAGTTAAAGGAAACGTTTTAGAAAAAGTTTTCGAAAGCCGGAGACCTACAGACCTTAAGTCCGGTTCGTTGAAATCCGTTACCCTAAAAAATGAAAAAACACTTGAAAAAAAAAAAATCGAAGTCAGACGAACTTACCAATTTCATTCGTCCAGTACTTCGAAACCTGGTCTTAAAGAAAAAAAAGTAACATTTTTCGGCACTTTCATGATTTTCTAAAGTATTACATATTGATTTCCAAATTTCTTTTATAAAATCCCATTCTTCATATCTTCCATCAATACATTCTGGTGCCAGTGTATAATTGACATTTTTGTATTAAATTATCAATATCATTATTTTCAGATGACCGATTTAAAAATTTATTTTTTGAGCTATTTTCAATACAATATTCGCAATAAGTTAAAGCAACATTTTTGGTTAAAGAATTTATCTTTGATCATATAACTTATATTCTAATCTAATTGCTTCAGTTTTTTTCATAGGATTGTCAGCAATAATTTTTTGTTGAATAAATTCAGCTTTTTTATGAAAGTCATCGTCAATAAACTACTTAATTGCTCTAATAATTGCTTTATGAACTAAATCACTTCGAATAATAGACGTAATTTTATAAAACAATTAAAAAAACAGCAGCTTTTAAACGTGCGAACAATACCCATTTATGGTCGTTAGTGTTTTGGACAAAGCTAAAATTGTCTACAAAAGCATTCTCAAATTAGAATTTCGGAGGTTTTGGATAAAACATGGGCGAAGCGTTTCGGATTTTGTCGTCCGAAACACCGTAACAAGTAAACAAATTAATTGCGTAACAATCAAAATCTTAGTATTGTTCATTGATCTACTCATGTCATATGATGGTCATATGATGTAGTAATTCCACAAAATAATTTATTTTCATTTATTATCACAGAAATAAAAATAAACAAATATAGTGATCATAGCTATAAAGTATAAACGCTACAAAACGCGCAAAATAATATTAAAGATAAGATAACAAAATGATTTTACATCAAATAGATCCGTATAATTTATTTCAATAAACTAAACAGGTTTTGAAGGGTAATAGTTATGTAATTAACCTAGCTTAAAGTCTGGATATATAACTAACAGGAGGGTTTCGTTCGTTAGCGGAATTAACCTGACAACTTGCGGCACGAACTCAGGAGTCAGGAAACTATACAACATCTATTTGTGATAATATCATAATTCGGCGGACCGAATTATACGAGGAATTAAACTTTAAATAATTATTTGGAAAATCAACTTGTCTATGTTAGTAGCAAATTTAGGAAAATATTTTAATGTATTTGGTATGATATTATATCATTACTGATTACACCCATCATTTTGTAATGTGACAGAATATTTAAAATAATTTCCGTCTTAATACTTTTAATCACATGTAAGTTGTTAATTTGATATTTTTTTTTAATTAAATTTTACAAAAAAATTCTTGCATTAAATGATCCTTTTTTTTTTGAACCTTAGATCCTAAAGTAAAAAAAAACTAAGTGGAAATAGAATAAAGTTCAATTTCGATCATCATTATACAGAACTGTTCTAACTTCTAAAGAACGTACGATAAAATCATCATTTCATCATTATTTTGATTTCTAATTGCTTAGTCACCAAATTTAATAATCTATTTTTGTCAAACAATTCGGCTGATCATTTCTTATTCAAATTAAATTATTTTATGATATACATTTGATTTAATTATGAATCAAAATATTTTTTTTTCTCGCAACGAAAAATTTACTTTAATTATTTTTAAAAAAGTCGACCAAAATTATGGACCCATTAGTTTTGGATCTTCATATTCCGTAAAAAATGTGATTAAAAATTTTCAAGATTTTATTAAATATATTTTATATTTTTTTGTGCAAGAATCAAAAAAATCACAATCACCTTTAAAATTAAGATTTATGTACCACATGCGCTAGATTGCACACAACAACTGATTGTGGTATTTTAAATATCTTAATTGGTAATTTGTTTTTTGATTATGAATGAAAAAAACATTACAAGTTGTCATACTATAACTCCGTTATCCAATTTACTTGTATTGTCAAATTCCGGATCTTCATTAGTCTGACTAATTTTGACTTAGTAGCAACTTATTATTAGTTTACCATATTGTTCTACTTTGATCAACTTATCTTGTGTGTAATAATTTAGTAACGCTAAACTTTAGGGAACCGCGTGCATAGTCACGTTAATCCTTAAAAGGTTAATGCTTACTAGTTTTGGAATTAAGGCTTGTCTACCGGCTTTCCGGATTCCTCCTTTAGGATGGATCGGTATCTTGCCTTTTCCGGATACAATTACATGATTGATGTCTATATTTGTTTGAGCGTCCCCCTATAAAATGATTGAATTTGGATCCTTCCTCCATACCCGATACTGCTTATTCCCCTTCATTTTAACGTAAAAAAAAAAAAATGTCTAATAAAACTCCTAAGAAAGCAAAAGGAAGAGAATTTAAACCAAGAGAACCTTATACTCACCGTTTACGTAAAATTCTTGAGGATTATCCTGATGGTTCACAAGTTCTTCGTGAAATACTACAAAATTCTGATGACGCAAAAAGTACCGAACAAATTTTCATTTTGGATCATAATACATATCCAAAAGATAATTTATTTGAACCGGATTTAGATAATTATAATAGAACTGATTTGAAACTTGATAGATATCAAGGTCCTGCTTTATTAGCAAAGAATAATACCATTTTTGAAGAAAGAGATTTTCAATCTTTATTGAAATTGGCTGATAGTGAAAAACGTGATCAGTATGATAAGATTGGAGGTAAAAAAATAAAATAATTTTTTTTTTCTTGTTTTACTTATTGATTTTACGTAATAACAATCATATATAATAAAATTTTCTAATTTTTCTAAATTTCTAATTCTTTTTAGTAATGGGAGTGGGTTTCAATTCAATTTATCATATTACTGATTCTCCTTCTTTCATCACCGGCGATAAATATGTCATCCTCGATCCACATGAATGGTATTTTAATGGTGGCGTCGAATTCGATTTTGTTGATGAGAAATTGTATGATGAATATCCGAATCAATTTGCTCCCTTCAGAATCCCTTGTGATAAATCATTTAAAGGCACCATTTTTCGTTATCCTCTTCGTACTGATGATGATTCTATAGATTCTGATATTTCTAAAAAAATTTATAAGCCAGATGAAATTTTGGCCATGTTTCAAAAATTTTATGAAAAGGAGAGCATCAATTGTTTATTGTTTTTAAAATATATTGAACGTATCTCCTTTTATGAATTAAAAGAAGGCGAATCTGAACCTATATTAATTTATTCAATTCAATTGGAGAATGCTAATCAAGTTAGGAATAAACGACGTTTGATAGTTAAAAATATTGTATCAATTATGAGTTCGTTAAAATCTACATCACTCCCTGATAATAATCAATCACAAGCATCTTATGTTGCTACATTTTCTCGTCAGAATGGAGATTTTAAAGAGCCTAATAGTTCATGGTTAATCTTGAATTACCTTGATAATTTAAAAGAAGCTGAAGCACTTTTTAAAGAAAAGCTTAGAGATTACAAGTTCGTCCCCAATGTTGGTCTGGCTGTTCCATTGGATAATTTAAATGATACCGGAAGATTATTTTGCTTTTTACCTCTTCCGATATCTATGCCTTTTTGCGTCTCTGTACATGGGTATTTCGCGGTAAGAACCGGAATTATTATTATTATTATTATTATTTAATGACCCCTTGAGATTAATATTACTTTTTTCCTAATAGGTTAGTACTAATCGACGTTCTTTATGGTCGGCGGCGGACAAAGAGGATTTGGTAAACAATCAATATTTCTTTACGTTAAGTTGTGCTGTTTCATAATTTTATAGCAGTTTACCTAACGTTATTATCTTTTTAGGCGGAGGATGGATCTGCGCATTATAAAGTTATGTGGAATCGATATTTATTTGAGAACGTTCTACCAAAGGCTTGGGCGAAATTTCTTTGTGAACTCCCTCTCAAAGCCCCTAATATAGAACCAAAAGATCTATATAAATTTTGGCCAATAGTTAAAGTTGGTACTGGTAGCATAAATACTTTTTGTAAGGATCTTTTACGAAATGTCATAAATTGTCTTAGTATCAACGATCGTGTATTTCAAGGACCTCCTACAACAAATCCTATTGGTGAAGTAGTTGGAATTTTAGCTAGTTCATATAAATCATCACAACATCAACAATCAAAATTTCATTGGTTATCATTATCTCACGGTTATTTAAAAGATGAATTTATTGGTGATTCCTTATCAAAGATAATCGGAGAGATTGGATTTCCCATAATAACAATTCCTCTTGAATTCGTTAGAATCTTAAAAAATTCTAATCATAATGACTTCATCAATTTTTATTCCCCTGTTATTATTCGTAATTATTTAAGTCGTAATCGTTGTAGATGGGAAGATAAAATATCAAGAGAAAAGGTTTTACAATTATTTGATTATATCTTAGAAGAGAATAAAGAATTTGATAAATTAATAGGATTTAAAATGATTCCGCTAGCTAATGGTACACTTGGTGCATTAATGAAATCCAACAATTCTTGCGTTTATATTGGACCAACAAGCACAACTAAAAGTCATGAATATGATGAAGAAAATATTTTCAAAAATCAGTTAGAAAAATTTGTTGATAAAAATATTAGTTCAAGATTATATAACCGTTTATATGATATTGTAAAAAAAGGGTGGAATTTAAATATCAAAATTTTGGATGAATCAGTTATAGCAGATATGATCAGATTTTCATTGAATCCTTTAAATGATAACGGAAGAAATTTTAAATCAATTATTGGAAACTTTATTGGAAAAAAATCGGATGATGAAATACAAATATTAAATAATAATGAATGGATTTATATATTATGGAAAAATTTTAAATATAGGGATTGGGATTTAACAAAATTTGAAGATATTCATTTAATACCAACGAATCATTCTACTTTAAGAAAATTAAAAACTCCACAAAAAATTTTTTCTAATCAAACAAGTAAAGATATTACTATTAGTAAATCTTTAATTAATATTTTTGAAAAATTTGGCGCCGTTTTCGTCGACAATGAATTTGATAATAGTGAAATTTCTAAATGGAATAAGTGAGTATTTAATTTACATTATGAATTTTCATCGATCGTTAACCCTTCTTTTTTATTATAACTAAAATATGTGTTTACCTCTTCCTCTTTTTAGAATATCTTCGTTCATTATCAAACCTGATGATATTATATCGGTTCTAAATTCTTTTCTAATCGATCCTACATATCCAAAGAATTTGGATCGTACTTTACAAAATCATGAAGCATTAGCGTTCGTTGAACATTTATCAAATTATTTAAGATTAATTTATAATAGAAATCATATTGATATAAAACTTATTCAAGTAATAAAACATCTTCCAATATTTATAGAAATTGATAATATTGATAAACCAATATCATTATTACCAGGAAATAAGCAATGGTATCTTTTACCACATGATGAAGAAAAATCTTATGGAAAAATTATTTATCCGAATGATAAAGGGGGATTTCTTTCTACTACGAATTCACAAAATTTTTTATTAGAAGATATTATTAAAATCACAAGATTAAATAGTCATAATTATTGGAAAATTTTTGTTTTACCTTATATTAAAGAATTACGAGATTTTAATGATCTAGATAAAGTTATCGATAAACTTTTTGATAGATTACCAACTTTACTTGCCAATGATGAAAATTTTAAGGATATACTTGGAAATATTTCTTTTGTACCAGCAAGTTCAATTAAGACGTTACAAAATCAACAAATTCCTTATGATACAAAATTAGTTAAACCAACAGAATTATTTGATCCTAAAGAAAAATCTGTAATTGAACTCTTCTTTGATAATGAACAAGTCTTTCCAGCTGGAAAATATGGTTCATCATCTAAAAAATTCCTTCCAATTTTAAAATTATTAGGAACTAAATCAGAATTATCATCAAACGATATTATTGATAGAATTAATAATATTATAAATCAAAGAAGAAATTCTAACGTTCAAGAAATTTTAATTCATAACAAAGCGTTCAAACTTTTTAAATATATTGATGATAAATGGGATACATTTAATATTAATGATTCACAAAATAATAGATTTATTCGTAATATTAATAATAATTTATTATCAAAAACGATTTTAGAAAAAGAATGGATTCCAACTATTGATATGAATGAAAAAATAAAATTTTCAAGATCTGATAATTGTTATTGTCAAAAAGATAAAGATTTAATTGGTTTAATTTCTCCTATAATTAAAACAAAAGTTAATAAGAAATTTTTAAAATTTTTAAGATGGGATAATTATCCTAAAGTTGAAAAAGTTTTAGAACAATTAATATTTTGTTATAAATTAGTACTTAGTAAACAATCACCAAAAAATTTGGAAGATATTTGTATGGCTATTTATAAATATATTAATGAAATTTTTGATTCACGTTCAAGGGATTATAAATCTAATGTAGAATTTGAGATTATAAAAAAAGCTTTAAAAACTCATCCATGGATTTTATGTGGAGAAATATTTTATCCAGCTGAAAAAGTAGTTTTTAATCTTCCAAATAAATTTCATGTTAATAATTCTATAATTGTTGAACTTCCAACGGAATATAATAGAATGAAATCTTTATTTAGATATATGGGAGTTCGTGATGAGATTGGAATCAAGGATTTGATTTTAGTTATTCAGAATATGGTTAAAGTGGATAAAGATAAAATCTTATCCGCGATTGAAATCACAAATATTATTAGAATTCTTGAACATATCGCAAAAATACAAAAGGAAAATAAAAGAGAAGGAATTGAAAGAGAAAAATTAGATGGATTATTAATACCAAGTACTGAAGATACTCTTGTTAATTTACATGAAATTCAATTTGATGATATGGAGGATAGACTTGATGATGATGAGAAAAAAGATTATAAACTTGCTCATCGTTTCGTAACTTTGGATATCGCTAAAGAATTGGAATTACAAACTTTAGCCGGAAAAATTACTGGCATTAGTAATACCGGTGGAGATATTAATTGGGATGCATATGAACAAAATGAATTATTAACTACTAGAATTAAACATATTATCGAGGTAACTTTAATAATTTCATTAATCATCATATATGCATTAACATTAATTCACAAATTTATTAAATTTTTTTTTTTTTAGGATTATCCGACGAGCTCCATATTTAAAGAATTTCTTCAAGTAAGTACACGAACGAAGTTAATATAAAATAATTACATCTAAAGAATTAACGTAATGATTTCTCTTCTATGTATAGAACGCAGATGATGCTAAAGCCACACACTTTTCCATAATAGTAGACGAAAGAAAACCATTTTGTCATAATAAACTACAAAAATCTTTTTTATCAGAAGAGATGGAAGATTGGCAAGGTCCCGCAATATGGATTTATAATGATGCTGAATTTACTTCAAAAGATTTTCAATCTTTGATTAAACTTGGAGTTGGAGGAAAATCTGATGATGATACAAAAATTGGTAGATTTGGAATAGGATTTAATTGTGCTTTTCATTTAACAGATTTACCTAGCTTTGTAAGTGGAAAATATATCGCATTTTTAGACCCTAATGCAAAATATCTTCCAGCACAAGGATACCCTCCTAGAAGATTTAGAGGTAATAGATTCAATTTTATTGACCTGGAATTTAAGAAGCATTTTCCAGATCAATGTTATCCTTATGAGGCGTTAGGTTGTGATTTTACAAAAGAATTTAAGGGAACGTTGTTTAGACTTCCATTAAGAACTTCTAAATTAGCGGAACAAAGTGAAATCTCTAAAAAGGTCCTTAAAATTAAGGAAATATTTGATAATTTTCAGAGTAATAACGAGATGCTCTTTTTAAGGAATGTAGAATCGTGTAGTTTACGTCATATAACAAATGGAAATAGTGATTCTCGATTGATTTGGGAAGTTAAAATAAATATGAATGATAATTATCGTAATATTCGTAAAAGCGTGGTTCATAAATCACAAGTATATCAATTAGATTTTGAAATGGATATAAAGGGAAAGAAATCTTCGGAAATATGGTTAATATGTACGGGAGAACATGATAAAACTAGACATGATTTTAAAAAATTTATGAAGAATAAACGACTCAAGGTAATTAATTATAGTTTATTAGTGATCTTGAATGAATTTAAGAACTTTTTACTAAAAAACAAACCTTAAATTTTTTTTTTTTTTTTGAAAAGCCAAGAGGCGGAGTCGCAGCTTTACTCGCTCGATCTAATAAAACGTTGGATAATTTAAAAGATGAATCGGTAATGTTTATTTTTTTTCGATTTTATAATTTCATCAATATTATATATGTTCCACCAATATTAATATATCTTTTTCACCAATATTAAATATATCGAAAAATTTTTATGATTCATATAGTTTCCAAATCCTCCTGATGAATTCGTTGGCGGAATTTATAATTATTTATCTCTATCTATGATCACCAATTTAAGCGTTCATTTAAATGGAAATTTTTCCTTAACTAGCGCGAGAAATAATATTATACAATCTGCTACTGATTTTTTGACGGCTAATGATGAAGATGCAAAATGGAATCAATATATTATGTATGATCTTTTACCTGAATTACATATTATATTACTTGAAGAGATCGTTAAACTTGAAAACATTCGATTCGAAAAAATGAAGGCTTCTCGTACTGATGATACAAAAATAAATTTCAAACCACATACTTTAAATAATCTTTGGCCGATTCCAAAAAATTCAATTATAGGATTATATAAAAAATATGGTTTACATGTTATCAAAAAATTAGGTACAAATGATTCAAAATTTTTCTGGACTGAAGCTAATGGCGGTAAATTTGTATCCTTAAAAGAAAGTAATGTACATGAAGAAAGTGATCCTATGATTGCAGATCTTTTGGCATATTGGGGAGTTTCATCTTTAAAATTTGATGAGGAAAAACTGATCCAACTTAAGGAGATTTCTAAACAAAGTAGTTTTCCTTATACGACGATTGGTGGAAGAACTATTTGTGACGTAATACGAAAAAATGAGGAATATATACATATGTTCTATCAAAATGATAAAACTGCCAAAAAAGAAATTATTCGTTCTTTATTATTCTTATTACTTGAATTTATTCTTAAAAGTATAGATGAATCTTATGAAATCCTTAATAGATTACCATTAGTTCCATTGAATGATGGTTCGATTGGAAAATTTGGAAATGTCTATTATATTGGGAAACAAAAGTATATAGATTTATTCCCAAAATTTGGACCTTCAAGATTTGTTCATATTGATCTACCGGGGGCATTATTAGAAATTTTTAGAAGTAAGAAATTTTCCGTACAAACAAATATCAGACGATTTGATTCTGCTGCAATTTTAGATCTTTTATCATTAGAATTTCATGATATTGAAGAATTAGATTATGAACCTAATAGTACTTCAATACCAAATAGTAAATGGTTAGAAGAAATTTGGTCAAAACTTGAAGTTGATGATAATATCAATTTTATTAGACTTTCAAAATTTCCTCTTTTACCAATGATTCAACCTTATGAAAAACTCGTTCAACTTGATATTACAAATCCACTTATTAGTATACGTGATTATGAAAGAAATTTTTATCCTGTATTAGTGAAACTTAAATTACGATTCACAAATAAGGAATTTCCAACTTCAGCTAATCATAATATTAGACAATGCGTATTACCATTTAATTCGGTTAATATTATTAATGCCTTAGAAAGAATGTGTGTTTCATCAAATATGTCCATGGATCAATTATTTAAAGAACGTAATCTTTTACCAAAAGATTATGAAAAATTTAGAAATTATATTAAAGATAATATTGATGATTTAATAAGTAAGTATAATCATTATTAATTATTTTTCGATTATTGACATTATCAAATTTAATTTCACGATAATTAATATCTACTTTATAAATAGGACATGGTCGAAGACAAGATAGATTTGCTAATATTCTTCGTTCATTACGTTCATTACCTATATGGCCAATATGTTCAAGTGATGACAAATTTATTGATGCGAAATCTGGAATCCTTCTTCCACATAATCTTCCATTCTTTCCCTTACAAGAAAATGTACATTTTTATAAATGTGATAACGAAAATGATTATAATGCACTCTTCAACTTAGGCGCAAATTCAATTGATGAATTAGAATATGTTAGAGATCATTTCTTACCACAACATATATATACAAAACCATCTGAAGAATATATAAATTTCTTAAAAAAGGTTTTATCTTTAGAAAATGGAGAAATTGAACAATTTCTTAAAGAATGTCAAGTAATTCCAAATGTAACACATGAATCTTTGGTGAAGGCAAATACTTTATATGATAATACCGTTCCTTTATTTTTCAATGTTTTTGAAGGTAGTGATAAATTTTTAGCTCCAGAATTACAAAATCCAAGATTGATGGGAGCTTTAGAAAGAATCGGACTTAAACGTCATGTGAATGCTAATACATTTATTGAATGTGCAAAAGAAATTGAATCACAATTTAGAAGATCCGAAAGTTATCCAGAAAATATAGTTAAACATCGAGCAAAATATGTTACAGATTATTTCTATGGACATATTACTAGTTTAGGTTTAACAATTGATCAATTGAATCAAATTATGAATATAAAATTCGTTCCATCAGAAAAATATTTTCAAAATCGATTATTTAATGAAGAAGCTAAAGTAACTTTAGGTTATGAATGTTTTTCAGTACTTTGTTCTCAACAATATAAAGAAGTATGTTGGTCTCAAAGACCTTTATTTGAAAAAAGTGTTGAACCAAATAATATACTTTATAGATATTTTCCTAATATTGGAAAACCAACTTTAATTGATGTTATTAAACATTGGTTTTTAGTTGTTGAAAAAATTAAATTAGGATCTTTAACTTGGAAATCTTCAGAAAATTATAAAGTTATTAAGAAGATAATTGAAAAAATTTATGAAATAATGAATGAATTTTCACAAGAAATGATTCATAAGAATATAATAATATCATTTATTACAAAAAATAGATTATTCTTAAATGGAGAAGATTTATTTGATAATGATAATTGGGTAGCAGGAGATAATCTTGTATTTGGAGTACAAGAAGATATTAGTAAAGGATTAAAAAAAGTTGATGAATTTATAATGCCTTATAAAGATTTATTGAAACTTGCTGGAGCTCATGAGTTGGAAGAAATAAATATTAATGAATATGATCTTATTCACGATTATCATGATCAAAAAGATTTATTACATAATAATTTATTAAAAAGACTTATAAGACATCCTGATACGAAACATCATGATGTTATTTTTATTGTTGGTGAAGAGGGAACAAGAATTGGTGCTAGTCGTTATGTACTTTCTGGTAAGTTAAATATCGTTCGTAAGTTTTATAATTAAATAATTTGTTTATTAACACTGTATTTACCATTTTTTTTTTCAAATAGCTGCATCAGAATACTTTGAGAAAATGTTTTGTGGTCATACAGCCGAATCAGAAGATAATAGACAGGTTGAAGTTAGATTAGATTATATCCAATCAAATTCTTTCCGAGTATTCCTTCGATGGTTATATGGAGAATCTTTTGAAGAAGCAAGTTCTACTTTGAGAAAACGAACTGAAGAAGAAAATTATGATTCTTATTATTTAGATTTTCTTGTCAATTTATTAAAAATTACAGATATAAGTGGATGTAAACCACTTAAAGATATAGTAGAAATTACAATTATGAAAGATGGTTGTGTTAATATTAATAATGTAATTGAAATGTCAGAATGGGCAGATAATTGTAAAGCTTTAAAATTAAAAAATCATTGTGAAAAATTTATTAATTTAAATAGAGGTTTAATTTTAGAAAAAAGGTTAGAATTTTGTGAAAATGCAATAGATGATGAAGAAAGAGAAGAAGAATCTCAAATGTTAAATATAATATTAAATAATTAAAAAGGTGAAAAAAAATATATTATATTAGGTAATATATTAGGTAGTTTAGTAAAAAATCGTTAAGAGATTTATTTGGTTGAGTTTTATTTAAATGTTAATAATTGTTTATGTCAACTTTCATTTATTTGTAATTGTTTCTATTTGTCTACTTTTTAAAAAATAATAAATAAATTTACATTAACATTTGGCTTAATAACATTTTAGCTTCTATGTATTCAATCAAAACATACATACACTTAAATATTAGCGGAAATGTAATATATAATTGGCCAAAGGACGTTGAAAATAAGTTAAATTCTTGTTGTTTAGTAACGCAAAATTTTCAGCCTTTCAGTCAGAAAATGCATTTATTTCCACGAATACCCGAATATATATATATATATTAATTTAGTCACGTCAATAAAATCGAACTGAATCGAACTGAAGTTATGGCGATTCCAACAGCGCCAATCAATCCACTCCTTTAAATTAATTGGCTTTATACTACAATAAATTTTATGATACTTGATAGGACGATTTATTTTTTTTTAATATGAATTTGACTTTTTCTTTATAAAAAATGTTAATGACATAACCTTATTCGCAAAAGCGCCTATAGTTTATTGATAATTTAATAAGTTATAAATAATTGAATAAGTTACTATAACAGAATCATTTAAATTACAAACTAAGATATATATGATATTTAAATACTCTTAGTGTTTAAATAATTCAAATAAAGTAAAAAGAAATTTAAATTTCTACAAAAAATATATAGTATATATATATAAATTTAGTAAATAAAATCAAATAAAATTTAAATTATAAAAAAGTAAACTTACCATCAGGAATTTCAATTCCATCTTGTTCTTCTGAACGAAGATTTGGATTGTTACATCGTCATCTGTTATAAAAAAATAAAATAAAATAAATCAGAATTTAAAACAATATAAAAATTTATGATAATAATTTATCACATACCATCGGTATAATGTTTATTTACTTGCTGTTGCGTCACGTCCATTTTATAAACATTTTGAACAACTTCTAAATATAAAATAATATAACTAATAATAAAATACATGGTTAAATTAGTAAAATTGATCACTATATTACTACTTACCATCTTTTGAATTTATTTGTAACTTATTAAAATCTTTGGATAAACCTTCACTGTCATCTAAAGTTGTAATTTTATTTAGCTATAAATAATTATACAAATAAAGCAATTTTTAAGACACTACCATTATTTTTCTGATTACTTGATTTATTAAAATCATCAACTAAATAAAAAATAAAATCAATTAATTATTCAGCTAATTTATATTTGCGACAAAATAAATTAGTAAATATTTACCATCATCAGGAATATAAAAATTATCATATGATTTACTGTAAAATGCTACAAAATTAAAAATTAAGATGCCAATATTAATATAAATCATTTGCAGTAAAATAATTTTTTTAAATAAAAATATTATTCACTCTTACCTTCTTGTTCTTCTATTATTATTTAAACAAAATATATATTTTATTAATTTAAATCATAATAATTATTATTGTACGGGCGCTTAATAATGATCTGATGTGGCGCTTCCATACCATTATTAAGCACGCCCGTACAATAACATACAAATACAAATAATTAATAACTGAAAAATATCATTAAAGCATTTACCTTCAGTTGCATTTCTCGGCTCGGGAAACCCGCCAAATTGATAAATTTTACTCGTAAATAATCTGCTGCTTGTATAATTTATATTTGCTTTATTTGTTTCTGAACTAAAATTTGTTCTTGATTGAGTTGTCTCATATAGATTATTTAAAATAATTTCACTTATTTTATCAAAAACTGTTAAAGTATGTGGTCTTTTTGATGGATCAGCATCCCAACATTGTTTTATTAATCTTTCATATTCTAGAGGAGTTCCCGATACTATTCTTGGTCTCATACCATTGAAAATATTCTTTGCAAGATAATAATCATTTCCATAATCACCAAAAGGAGGTTGTCCAGATGAAATTCCCACATAAGCATTGCAATACTATAAATATCTGATTTTTTTGTAGTATTCTTTCCAGTAATAACCTCAGGTGCTATATAAGGAAGATTTCCATATATACTTTCTAATGGTTTATCAGCAGGTCCACAAAATCCAAGATCACTAATATAAAATCGTTGATTTCGTTTTGAATACAATATATTTCCAGAATGCAAATCTCTAGAATTACATTTCGTGAATGAATACTAAATAGTCCTTTAATTATATTTTGGATAATCAGAATTCTTTCTTCCCAAGTAAGTTGATTATAGTTTTGCTGTATCTATTACAAGCATGTAATTTCCATTTAATGGGTCTTGTGTTAAACCATAACATTGGACAATTTGTGATAATTTGCTTAAATTAAAATGTGATTTAGCCTATAAAATAATAATATTTTATAAGTAATACTTGAAAAATTTAAATACAAGTATTTTTTTAGATTACGCACCTCTTCAAACCATCTTTGATTTGCATTTTCAACATTTTCTAATCTTTTGAGTATAACTCTTTGTATTCCAAATCTTACTAATTGTTGTTTCTTAGAATTCCATTCTTCATATCCTCCATCAATCCAAACCGCTGTATAAATTTCAGAAAAGCTACCTTTTGTTAGATATTTGATATTTTGTAAATCATTATATGGAATCCATTCAATTACTCCATCTGGTTCAATCGTTTCTAACTGACATTTTTGTATTAAATTATCAATGTCATTATTTCCAGATGTCCAATTTGAAAAATTTGCTTTTAAATAATCTCTAATACAAAATTCACAATATAATGTAGCTAAACATTCTTTATTACAATTTTCACAAATTCTACTTATTCCTGAATTAGAAATAATTTTATCTCGATCATAAATTTCATACAATTCTTTTATTGCTTCAGTTTTTTCATCTTCTGTAAGAGATTTATCAGCAAGTAGTGTTTGTTAATATATGTTGTTTGTGCATGTCATCACATACATTATAATCTACTATTGCAAGTGATTTATTAAGTGCTGCACGAATTGCTTCTCTTCGAATAGCAGACAAAATGCAATTTTATATTTATCTTTTGGTAGCAAATGTAAAGAAAGTTTCCCATTTTAAGAGGAATTCTTAATGATTAACCTATATTAGAAATTAATTGTTACATAATTTTAACGCCCAAATTTATATTTTACAAAGGTTACACCACAATAATATTAACATCATGTTGCGCCACTGCAATATTTTTTTTTTTTTTTTTTTTTTTTATAAACGTATTTTATTCATTTTATTAGTAAATGATAACGCATTACATTAACTAGTAAATACAAAAAAAATACATTGAAGCTAGTTATTTCTAACTACACCTCTCCATATAAAAACTTTAGAATTCTTTCTAAAGTGTAAACTATCGTAACCAGCGTGCTATTCACGTAAAAGCAGCTCCCCGAGCCCTTTAACTGAGTAATATCGAACAGAACTAATACTAATAAATTATAAATAAAAAAAAAATTCTATAACAACTACTTAGATTACAAAAAGGAAAAGCAAGATCGCTAAAAAACCTATTTTGAAATCTATCAAGATTATTATCTAACTAAAGACAGATTAATCCCCTCTGTACTATATCCCAGTAAACCAGAATAAAACCTTCCTTCGGCGAAATCTGCAGTCTTTAGATAGTTTCTCGCATGCAGGACGTTTCTCCAAAGAAGTTTATTTCAACGTCTTCCAATGTACCGTATCGCAGACACGTGACTTGGTATGATTGGCCTCCCCAATGTTGATCGGCATATCCACAAACTTCAATTTTGATTGGTACCTTCTGCTTGAAAAATCTTGCCTAAAACGTATAGGCCACACCTTTTACCACACCTTAAGAGGACATTTAACATATGCACCAAAATACTACTGCGCCAAACCAAAATGAAACCCAAAGAAAAAAGGAAAAGAAAAAGGAAAGAAAAAAGGGTAAAGGGCAATAAACACCAAACCAAGCAACCTCCAGAAAAAGCTAACCGCGTCCCAAAACTTCCACCAACACACTACTCCGAAGTTTACCTTCTTACGTACACACCCGTTCGCCCGCCAGACCTCCCTCTAAAAACCCACTTCGACTCCAAAAAGCTGACTCTCCAACTTGCGCCACTGCAATATTATTATGTAATACAAACTCCAAGATGCTGTAAGTTAATGTAAGAGTACATTTTAACTCACGTTGGATATTTTTGGCGAAAGAAATTAAAAATGGGATGTTAAAATAGTAAATTATGCAACTCTATACCACAGATTTTAAGAGTTTAATTGCCGAACCGCATATGATCGGTCTTTTTTTTCCTTTATAGCTAAGTCCATCAATTTGTAACCAAATCGCCTGAAATTTTTGCTGAGAATACTATAACTGTAAGATTAGTTCCTTTTACCCAAATATTTATATAATTTTTTATAAAATTCGAAATTTTACAAATCTGTCTCTAGAGGTATAAAAAAACTGTAAACATATGAAATCTTATTTTTCCCTATATATAAGTCCTATCAATTTCGCCCAATTCACTTGTAAATTTTGTGTAATTCTCAAAATTTTATAAAACCCACCTAGAAATAGAAATAAATTATTTAAATTATTAAGCATATGAAATTTCTTTTTTCCCCAATAGTAGATAAGTCTGTCAATTTTTTACAAAAAATTTTATCCGTTATTTCTGTGAAAACTCCGTAAAAAATGAGCCTTTCACGGATCCATTCACGGATAAGGTTATTAATTCCGGAAATATTATGAGCCTTTTACGGAAAAAAGGTGGAATATAAAAAACGGATAGACCTTTTTTTACAGGGATATTAATGTTTTAAGAAAAATGGCTTCATTTTTTTTTATTAATAATAGAGTCACTAAACATCAATGTTTCGAATGTGGTTATTAAATTTGATTTTTAGCCTTTTAAGTTTATATAAGTTTGAAGTTTGAATGTATAATGTGAGGTTTGATAGGCTTGAATGTTAAGTTTTTATTTAAGTATTGACTTTGTGTGTTATATGTCAATGGTTGTTTAATCGGTTATAGTAATATTTTACTATGTAAAACAAATTATTAAAATTGTATTTAATAAGAATATTATAAGATGTCAATAATACAACAAACTTTGTTAACCATTGAAGGTTAAAACTTGTACATTTTTGCCACGTGACACTTGAATTTCCTTTTATATAATTTTCTGTTTAACTGTTTCGTACAGTATCCTTTTTTTAAAAAAAATAAAAAAAACAAGAATGTAAACAGCGGGAATCCTCATAAATATTTTTAATTTTAACCAAAATTCATTGGATTCAGAAGATCAGATTTTTCAATGATTATTTTTCAAGCACGTTAAGAATATTATCGACTAGTTTTGAGACTTTAAGCTATATACATTGCATATGGGACATACTTAATTTAATTCTATACTGTATGCGTTGTTCCATATACCATGTTTAATAATTACGACTCTAAAATGATGAAATCATGTTCTTGATAACCGGTAAATCCGTAGGCAAAATAACCAGAGAATTATGATAAAAAGGAAAAACAAATAAAATACTACAAAGAATTTGACAAGACTTATTTATTTATTATGAAAGTGATACTTTGGGTACGTAGTAAAATGTTTATTTATAGGAACTACAAAATAATTATAATCATAAAGGGTAAATTCATAATTTTGTATAAATTACCAAAAAGAGATTATTGTATCGTGTGCGGCGAGTTTGATATATATTCTGTATTTATTGTGAATTCTGACAAATTTTCTTTTTTTTTTATACTTTATTAAGTCGTAACTACTTACAAAATTAAATCAAAATATAATAAACAAGAAATATTAAAACCCTTTAATCCGTTTATTAAATTATTTTATCAAATGCAAATTGAATGTCAATATTGAAGGTAATTTATTTGATAGTGTTATCACGTTAATTAAAATAAAGATCTAACCGAGTAGGACAAATATGACAAATATATTTTTGATGATAAACGGAGCAGAGTTCGAGTAGACTCATTCCGGTAATTATTATAACATGCACAGAATCCTACCATACAATTAAATAATGTTGAGGATATATTCAAAACTTTGGATTTTAGAAATATATAATTACCGTATTTGCCCGAAAATAAGCAACAAGTTTTGCACATAATTCCGGCCAAGTTTTGATAATGTGGGCCAAAATTTGTTATAATGCGGGGCATGTTGCTTATTTTCGGTGATTGCTTATTTTCGGGCAAATACGGTAATACAAAAGGATATATTAATAAATTGTAGAAATAATTTTGTGATTAATATAATTTATTTACGAGTTTTTACGTAATTATTGTAAATTTAGAATGTGTTTTTCCAACGTATTATCTAAGATCCTGCTCAATTAAGATATTCGACTAAAGATTGATAAAATATATTAATGGAACTACATTAAAGTTTATGTACATATTTAATTTTCGCATCCTGAGTTACACACTTAGAAAGTTAAAGTTATAAGAAATTCATATTTTAGTCACGCGTTGCTCATATAAAAGAATTGTTATTTAAAATTTATTTAAATGGGAAATATGCGTAATGAATGAGGTGCAAAATGTCTACGGTAACGATTCACCTGTAATATTTAATGTCGTATAACTAAACTGTTCAAGTTAAATAGTGTTACGATTAATTATATTACTAAAAGTAGTAAGTGTACAATTCCATGTATTGATTCTACCTTACATAGTTTTAATAAGTAATTTCTAATCAAGAAATTAGCTTTATTAAAAAAAATATTACACCCTGCATTCTGCGCCATTAGAATTAACTACAAGTATCGTCATCTATTAATTAAACAAAGTAATATATGATAGTCTAATCACTAATAATTATCGTTACTGTACCTTTAAATAAGCTCTTACTATCGATAATTGGCGAAATTACTAAGTAAGTTTATGAGCTCTGTCTGATGATTCCGCAATTTATAGTATAGATCGCGGTCGTAAGTCATATTACCTTACTATTCTTAAATTTTAGTGTTTAAAATAAATAAATTTATATGATTTATAAAATAAAAAGTAAATAATAAAAGTTTCAAATATAAAAGATAAATAATTTTGCCATTTATTTATTAAAAAGATGACTTGAAATTCGTCCAAGATTCGTCTATATCTAAATTATGTAAAATGATAACTGTATATTAATTAGCGATCTTAAATTAATATCTTTAAAAAATTCTACTCGTTATCATTAGAAATTTTCAATTGATCTTGGTCTACTGATTATCATGTACTTCATCTTCATCCACAAAATAATAAGAATTATTTACTTGCCATTTATTGAATTTATTCATAGCTCGTTAAATACTTTTGGCAAGTTGTATGATTTAATATTAATTCTTAAATACTTGTTTATTTATTACTTTTTTTTTTTTAAAAAAAAAAAGAATTTAAATAATATTTACCTTCGAAAAATCTATTAATTGATACACTATTGATACGTATAATAAATTTATATTATCGTTCAACTTTTTGAAGAATTTTGCTTTCCTTTAGAAATACCCCGAACTTGATTTACTCCCTCCTGACCAATGGTTTTTTATTTGTAATAAACGTTTAATAGATAATGTCGTAATTATTTTTTCGTTCTGCGCATTCTTATAATATTATCTCTTCAATAGTTTAATATGAATTATTTACGTTATCCTAATCTAGCGAACCAAGATATACTGTATCAATAAATCTTGATGGTGGATTGACTACATTAAAATTTAAAATGTAAACTTCAATCTTATAAATTCCTTAAGTACCTCTTTAACACATTTTTAATTTTTGAAATAATTAATAGACTTCATTTAAAAGTATTAAGAAAACCCATTTTTTTAAAATAATGAATAAATATAAATTTATAAATTTTATTTGGAGGGTTAATAATTTTACATATATGAATTATTTAAATTACAAACTAAGAAATTTGTAAGAAATCTTACTACTCTAGTCTTAGTGTTTAAATAACTTTAATAAAATATAAATAAATATAAACTATTTTATAACGATTTACAAAAAAATAGTTGTAATGAGAGATGGTAGCAAATTTTCAGTATAAAATCATTTTGTATCTAATATCAAAAAAAAAAAAAAATATTTTCAATAATAAAAATTAGTAAATTAAAGTAAATAATTTTTACATTTTAAAATAGTGAATTTTTTACCATTAGGAATTTCAAATTCATCTTGTTCTTTAGAATGAAAATTTGGGTTATTGTATACTTCATCTTCATCATCTTTAGTAACAAAATGAGAATAATTAGAAAAAAATACAAAAATGGTCATTAAAATGTGTATATTTGTCAGTCTTACCATTAAAATTAACATTTGGTCCTTTTGTTTGTTGCACTGTTTCTTGTTTATATTAAATTGAAATAAATTACATTTAATGAATATTTGCATTAATAAATAATATTAACTTATTTACATACCATCTTTTACTTGTAGCTTTTTAAACATTTTGGATAATTTTTTACTATTGGCTAAAATTTAAAATATGATTCATTATTTATTTATCCAATTATTTTTTTATAAAAAAAAAAGATAAATCAATTAAATACCTTTACAGAAACTTCAAAGATCGTAGCGATGGCTTAATGCGCAGTAACTGCATATATGTAATTTCTTTACGATTACATAAATGTGGTCACTATGTATTTATAACGCAGTTACTGCGCATTAAGCCATCGCTACGATCTTGAAGTTTCTGTAAAGACTGTATATGGATAAATTCACCAACCTTTAAAAAAGCTATTTATTTTTGATGTTCTACTATTATTCTGATTGCTTGAGTTATCAACTAAAGAAAAGGTAAAATTAATAATTAAAAATATATACTATATATAACAATCCTACAATTTGAAAAAAAATACTTACTATTAGTAGGAATACTATAATCATATGGTTTACTATGGAATACTATTTAAAATAAAATATTTTAGTAAAAAAAGTCGAAATGAATAAGAATATAAATAATCTGAGAAATTAAAAGATTTTAATTATTAGATTGACAAATTTACATTACCATCTAGCTCCTCTATTCATTTTTAATATAAAAAATGAGAATTTTTTGTTATTATTTATGTATTTAAATAATAAAAGCAACATATATTAAATATAATACCTTCTGTCGCATTTCTTGGTTCGGGTAGATTCTCAAATTGATGAATTTTACTTGTAAATAATCTGCTATTTGTATTACTATTTGTTTCATCTAATTCTAAATTATTGTGTATTTCTGATTCATCCGTCATACTTTGATAATAAAAATTCATCTCTCTTATTTTTATCATAAGTGTATTAGTATCTGGTCTTTTTGATGGATCAGCGTCCCAACATTGTTCCATTAAATTTTTATATTCTGTAGGAGTTCCTGACACAATTTTTGGTCTAATACCATTAATAACATTTATTGCAAGATTACAATCATGTCCATGATTAATAAATGGTGGTTGTCCAGATGAAATTTCCCACATAAGCATTGCAATACTATAAATATCAGATTTAAAAGTATATTCTCTTCCATTAATAACTTCTGGCGCTATGTAAGGAAGAATTCCATATACGCTTTTTGATGATTTATCAGCAGGTCCACAAAATCCAAGATCACCAATATACCACTTACTATTGATTTGTGAATACAATATATTTCCTGAATGCAAATCTCTATGAATTGCATTCTCTTTATGAATAAAATAAAGTGCCCTAACTATTTCAAAAGATATATTTAATTTTTGTCTCCATGTAAGTTTATTGTGATTCTGTTGTAAAAATTCTTTTAAACTTATATCCATTTTATACATTACAAGCATATAATTTCCATTTGATATGTTTTGTGTTAAACCAAAACATTGAACAATATCTGACCTTTTATTACTTATAGTTAAATGTGATTTAGCCTAAAAAAATGTAAAAATCTATTATCAATATAAAGCTGAATTGGTTAATCAATTTTCTTAGATTTACAGTAGGTTACAAACCTCTTCAAACCAACTTTGATTTGCACTTTCAACATTTTCTAATTTTTTAAGTATTACATTATGTCTTCCAACTCTTTTTAATTGCTGTTTTTTAGAATCCCATTCTTCATATTTTCCATCAACCCAATCTGCTGTATAAATTTCAGAAAAACCACCTTTTGTTAAATACCTGACATTCTGTAAATTATTATATGGAATCCATTCAACTATCATACTTGGCATGAGTGTTTCTGATTGACATTTCTGGATTAAATTATCAATGTTAACATTTCCAGATGTCCAATTTGAAAAATTTGTTTTTAAATAATTTTGAACACAAAATTCACAATATAATGTAGCTAAACATTTTTGATTACAATTTTCACAAATTCTTCTTGTTCCTGAATTGTTATTAATTTTATTTCGATCATAGTCTCTAGTTATCCAATTTATTGCATAATTTTTTTCATCTTTTGTAAAAGAATTATCAGCAAGAAGTGTTTGTTGTTGAAATTCATATATTTTGTGAATATTCTTGTGAACATTATAATCTATTAATGCAAGTGACCTAGATATTGCTGCATGAGCAAGTTCTTTTCGAATTATAGACATTGGATTATTTAAAAAAGAGCTTTGAAAGGAAAAGAATTTTTATAAATTTGAAAGTTTTAAAAATTACGATGAGAAAAAAGAGAAATAAAGTTTTGTGACCAAAATTATTAGCAATGATTTACAGTCTTATAATGTAGTGCAACTTACACAAAATGTTTTCTCCAAATATGGTGCTTGTAGTACCTGCATTAGCATAGCGGACATCCCTATTTTATCACAATTTTGACGATCATTTGTCGATCATTTATTCAATTTTTATCTCTTCGCTATAATTAAATTGATTGGCTTTGGTTGAAAATTCTACATAATAATATGTACTCAAATTTTACAGACAGCTTAATATTCATTTAGATTTACTGCATATTAAATTTTATCAAGATCGCATCATTATTGGGTAACTTTTACTAGTAATAATAACTTTTTAAATTCTAATAAAATGTGTTTTTATGAGTATTTCTTCACAAAATTTTAAAGACTATTTATAAAAAAATAAACAATATAATTTTTTAATGATCAAAATTTGTTGTTTAAATAAATAAAACAAAAAAAATTCTTTAAACAGTTCATAAAATTTTGCCAAAATTTTTTCCTAATATATATTTTAATAATATTCATTTAATGATAACTTTTGGTTTATCTAAAATTCTGCTGGTTTATTTTAACCATTGATTCTTGAATACCTAAATAATATATTTTAAAAATTTCAAGTTTCGCCCGTAAATCTGTGGCTTTGCCCGAAGCTTCAAAATCAGGTTAGCAGCCCTATAAAAAAAAATTTTACTTAAAATATATTTAAAATATATTTAATTTTCTTTAAAATATACTTAATTTTATTATTTTATAATTAAAATATACTGAAAATTGAATTTTCGCAAAATTTGAATTAAATTGTATTTAATATATACTTAAAATATATTTAATTTACATTTAAATTTTGCCCATTTCAGTATATTTTAAGGATATTTAAAATAAGAATATTTTAAGTATATTATTATATACTTAAATTATACTTAAATAATATTTAATTTTTGCCTATTTCAGTATATTTTAAGTATAAAATAAAAATTTAAATATATTTTAAGTATAAAATAAAATTTTAAGTTTATTTTAAGTATATTTTAGCAAAAATATTTTTTATAGGGCAGATGATCGGCAAATGATTGGCAATTATCAAATTATGGGAAATTTTGGTTCAAGGCAATACTGTAAATTTTTTTTTGCCATAATAATTTTATAGTATATTTTTCATGAATTAAACTGACAAAAAAAAACAATTAGTATAATTTGCCTGAGCATTTATGGCTTTACCCGATGCTTCAAAGTAGAAGTGATATGATATATATATATGATCGACAAATGATCAGCAAGGTGATAAAAGCATGTCCGCTATGCTACCTGCATTCATGTTACACATGTCACATACATCACGAGATGAAATTGTCACGTTATTTTTATGTTGAAATAATAATTTCTTAGCTATAAAAAATAATACAGATGTAGAACTTACGAAATAAATTACTGGACTTTACCAGGCTATTGGAGTTGGAGTTTAAGCAATAGAATCAGAACCTCAGAGGAATATTAACCTGGTAAGTAATGAATAGTAATTTAGGACATTATAATAAAAAATAAGTGATTAACTAGGTTAATGAAGAATAAAAATATTAATTAAGTCATATTAAATTAAAATATACACAATATACAGTATACGAAGAAAAATAAAATTTATTAGATAAAAATTTTTAAACTTACACACGAATCTAAATAATTTATACTATCATATATGTCAGTATAACAATATCGATAGTGATAAAAAATGAAAAAATGAAAAAAAATTGTTCAATGTGAAAATAATTTATTTGGTTCTCTATAAATACTATAAAAAAGAATAAATAAATATTAATAAAAAATAATTTATATGGTACCTGACGAGGTGACAATGTTATTTTATGTTTTAAAGACTAGTAAATTCATGGGCGTGGAAGCGTTTACAGTTTATTCTAATTTTTCATTAGTTTAACAGTATCCAAAATCAATTTAGGAACCGTTAGTAGGTAATAAGAATACTGATGACAACAGTTAAAAATAATTATTAAATCCTCTTGTGGACTACTTTGTTATTTACTTTTCGTTGCTATTTTTTTTCATTACAATATTATTTAATAATTAAATATTTCATCGAATTTTTATTAGATATCTTAATTTCCATTATAATTTTCATCGCAATTTTTTTGATTTGACAATTTGACTACGAAGGAAATTTTTGTAAGTACATTACGATTTACGAGAAGCAAATTTTTCTATTAATGTATCATCTAATCGAGTAGTAATGTAGAACAAATATAACAAATACGTTTTCGATGACGAAATACACCCGACAGAGTGTAGTTTGAGTTGATTCATTCCAGTAATCATTGTAATAACGTGCATAAAATCCTGATTTTACAGTAAACCACTTACGGTACAATAATGATTTGATTAGACTTCAAAGCTTGTAAGGATATATTCAAACTTCAGGTTTTAGAATTATATAATTAATACAAAGGAAAATATGGTATTATTTTTCTGGATTAATTAAAACTTATATTTAATTAATAGATGACGATACCGTAGTTAATTTTAATGGGAATAATTATTGCAGAATGCAGAGTGTAATTTTTTTTTTTAAAAAAAACAATATTAATTCCTTGACCAGAATCACTTATTAAAATTATGTTAAGGTATCCGAGTAAGAATCAATGCAATATAATTAATCTTTTACATTTGATGTAACTTTTACTTGAACAGTTTCGTACGACATTAAAAAATTGCAGGTGCACCTCATTCATTAGGATACCTCATTTATTGCCGGTTAGAGATCATCATTCATCAGAAATCGCACAAGCCACCGTATTACCATTAATGGTTAATCCTTTCATATAAAAAAAATTTTTTTAACAGTTTACGTTCGGGATTTTTTTATGAAACTAAAAAAATATTGTATTTAAATAATAATTTTATAACAAAATTTGATGTTAGTCTCGCTATTTTATTTTTTAGATTTTACAAGAAATTATTAAAGAATGTCCTAATTATTATTTGGATGAAATTATTGGAGAGATGATTAATAAAACTGGAAAAATAGGTTTCTATACCTACTTTATAGAGATCTTTAAAATATTATGGAATAACAAGAAAGAAGGTTAAGTATATATTATTATTTTTAAAATCTAGTTGGAAAAGCTGCAAAAAAAAGGAGTGAATTGCTAAAAACTGATTATATTTTTACTATTAGTACAGAATATCAAGCAGAGCAATTGATTTTTTTGGACGAAACTGCTAAATGAAAGATCTTTATTACGAACTTATGGATATTCATTTGAAAATCAAAGAGCATGTCAAAAAGTAGTTTTTTTGAGATGCGTTAGGTATACTATTTTACCTACGCTTACATTAGATGGATTCGCTGCATGTGATATTATGAGATGTAGCTGTTCTAAAGAGAGATTTTGTTCATTTGTTTTATCGTTTTATCTCAAATTGTATTTTTTTATTTTTCGCGTTCGCGCAACTTTACGATCACGTTTGTGATCACGTTATATTTATAGTTTTTTTTATGATTTAATTTCAGTATTGCTAATTGCTAATTATTTTAATTTTATAGTTACCTTTTATGAAACCTTACCCTGGAAAGAACAGTGTATTGGTGATGGATAACGCTAAAATACACCATGATGAAGAATTGATCAATGTAATAAAAAGTCTTGGTTGTAGAATATTATTTCTTCCTCCGTACTCTCCTGATTTCAATCTGATAAAATTAGCATTTTCTACAGTAAAAAGCTGGATTAAAAGAAATAAGGATTTTATGGAAACTTATCCCGACCCTAGATTTGCTATTATAGCAGCATTTTCACAGATAACGCCTATGATGGCGAAATCTTATTTGAAAAAAATAAATCATTTTCAATAAAACTATATATAGAAAAGATTTTAAAAATAATTATAGGCGAAAATTTTTATTAGATACCTCATTTATTTGTAAAAAGCAAAGGATACATAATAAAGTGATCATTGATTTTAAAAAATATTTATCACATTTTGTTAATAAACCAATTATTATGCGTAATTTATGCTGCTCTATCTAATTTTTTTCTAATACCAATACTGTTGGTGTATTAATAGTTTCTAAATTATGTTCCTGAATTATATTTTGTAATTATTATTGTTTACAAGTTTTAATATTTAATATGTACTAAACAACAAGAAAAAATTAAATATAAATTAAATAAAAATTACTATTGATGCAGCTCAGGTACTTAAATGTTGAGGTATTAAAAGTAAATGAAGTGATCCAGTAACGTAACACGCTATCATGTTCATTACAATAATTTTTTGAGTTAACATGTCTCCTTTCATCAAAAAGACATTTCTTTTGAAATAGTATTTGATCTCTCCTTGATGATTGTTAGTAGCATCAGTAGTATTAGTTATATCATCCATTTTTCTGAAATAAAGTGATTATAAGCATAATTTATTACTATATATTTATAAATAATTAATATTATACCAAATACCTTCTTGTATAAATTTTAACATTCTCATTTTCATTTGTAGCGATCACCATCATCTCCTTATTACGTGAAATTGAGTTTTGATATCTGATAGTTGAATACCTAAACTCTTGTCATTCACCTGTTTATATGTAGTAATATAATCATCATATTCGATCCATTGTCCATTGATCTAATTTGCTGAATATAATAATATTCATTCAATTCTTTTAAAAAACTTCTAAGAATTGTTTTTTGAATCATGAGCTATTTTGCAGGACTGTTTGATTTACTACAAGTTTAAAAGAAATTTCTGATGATATATCATCCTTCTCGGAATTTTCATCTTCCTCACTAGATTCTGATCTTTTCCTTCACTATGTTCCTCATTTTCACTGAACCCGTCTCTCGTTACAACTAAATTTTCATTAATTTATTAACAATTATTTACTATTTAAACACTAATATTAGAGTAGTAATTTATTAGTTTGTAATTTAAATAGTTCAAATATGTTACTTAATTATAAATTTATATTCATGTTTAAAAAAAAATGCTTTTACTTGATAATTATTTTTAAATGAAATTTATTAATTATTTCAAAAATTAAAAATGCGTTTAAGAGATATATTTGCTTAAAGAATTTTATAAAATTGAAGTTACAATTAGTTACATGATTTTAATGCGCTCAATTCAACATCAAGGCTTATTGATACTTACAGTATTAGATTAGGACAATAAGATTTACGATATTAAACTATTAATGGAATAACTTCATAAGAATGCGTGAAAACTAACAAAACGAAAAAATAATTACGACTTTATCTATTGAATTTTTATTACAAATAAAAGGCCATTTTTAGGAGAGAATAAATTAAGTTCGAGATATTTGAAAACAAAATTTCACTGGTGAACGGCGAATGATATATTTTAATTTATACTACTTAATGTTAGGAAATATTGTTATTTTCTCTTCGTCCGTTCGTTTTAAAGTACTGTAGGATATTTATTGACTCGAAGAATAACACTCTAACTCGTTCTCCAACCCGAAAAGCATAGTGCAGCCGTGTCAGCCGGCGCACATGATATGTAGCCATGTAACATTTATCTAATTAAATGTGTGGAAGTTGAACATAGAAAATTATTTTGATTTTCACGTGCACTCACTAATAGAAATAGGAAATATGAAACGGGCTCATGTATAAATTCAATACAAACCTAATATGAATTCAGTACGGGACTTTTACTGGGAGTGAAAAATGTTCGGTAAGGTCGAAAATACATGTATTTTAATTTTTATGAATTTTAAGTAAATACCCATGACGCAATTGTCATTATTCATAACAGTACTAATTTTTGATCTTTAAACATAAATTAAATTTTTTTTATTTTAATATCTAACATTATGAAACTATTTATAATTTACAGTAATAAAATTACATTTTGAAAAAAAGAAAAAAAGATAATAACTATTGAAAGGAATTGTTAATTTTTATTTTTTCGCTGCTATAATTTATTTAAAAACAATATAATAAAAACAAAGGACCCCGAAATATATATGTAGAGGTCAGGTCCAGAAGTGGTCCAAAATACGCATTCTTTCAGGGCCGGAATTATGATAATTTCAGCCATTATCTAAATTAGGAAATATTATTTTGGCTGGGATTATCCATAAAAGGAATGATCTACATGATTTTTTTTGACTCATTATACGCAAACTATGACCTGACCCTTTTATGTATATTTCGGGGTCTTAAAAACAATACAATAAAAATAAGTAAGCTAACTAATTTTATATAAAAATGAATGATAATAATTTTATTACTTAATAATTACCTAAGCTGAAATGATTAACCAGTTACTGCGATTTTGTAATAATTGATCTACATTCCGGTTTGTTTGTCATATATGCAATGATGCAATGCTTGTACTTATGATTACACATAATGTATTTTGCATAAATATTATTACTATATTTACTCATACTAATAAAGATGTTTAAAAGGCATTTAATAATAAAAAAAAAAGAAAAAAGATATTTATCTTTTCCAATTGAGAATTTTGATATAGTAATGGACCAATGTATTGGTAAAGGTAAAGTTTATAACATGAATAATAATATAAATTAGAATTATTCAAAATTTTTAAATCAAACTTGCAATATAATAAACTAGTTTTGGGTGATACAAAAGAACCTGAAGGTAAATATTATGTACAAAACAAAGTTGAAATATTAAGTTTTTTTATTTATTAAAAAAATTTCATTGTAAATAATCAAATATAATTAAAATCAAATTTGCAATATAACAAAACTAGTTTCCAGTAATATAGAAGAATTTGAAGAAAGTGGAATTGGAGAATTTGAGGGAAGTGGCACTGAAGAATTTGAAAGTAGTAGTATTGAGGAATTTGAAGGAAGTGACACCAAGGAATCTAAAGGTAGCTGAAATATTAAGTTTTTATTTATAACAATTCAAATACTACAAATATAATTTAGACTAACTATTTTATATAAAAATTATATGATTAAATATTTAGCTCGTAAGTTAATATAATGAATTACTCATTATTATTTTTATTGTATTCCATATAACTAAATAATTTATTCAATAATTAATAATCTGTAGTTAGTAAGTTATTAGTTATTTAAATCTTTAGTCCTTTACTTTATTTATTTTTATACAACATTCAAATAACTAAATTCTTTGTTTAAATAACTATTTAATAATTAATTGTATTACAGATGGTAAGTTACAATATAAATATTATATTTATTTGTTTAATATTTTACATAATTCAACTAATTATATTCTTAATTTAAACAACTAGATTGTAAGTAATATATATAATTTACAGTAAATACTTTTATATTATCTTTATATCTAACTAATTAATAATTAATAATACTACAGGGTGTAAGTTATATGATATCTATATTTATATTATTTATATAATTTAAACTATCTAATTTCTTTATTTAAAAAATTATCAAATAATATAGGGAGTAAGTTATTTATTTAATTCTATTATTACTTATTGTTATAATATTTACATATAATTTAAACTATCTAATTTCTTTATTTAAAAAATTATTAAATAATATAGGTTGTAAGTTATTTATTTAATTCTATTATTACTTATTGTTATAATATTTACATATAATTTAAACTATCTAATTTCTTTATTTAAAAAATTATTAAATAATATAGGGTGTAAGTTATTTATTTAATTCTATTATTACTTATTGTTATAATATTTACATATAATTTAAACTATCTAATTTCTTTATTTAAAAAATTATTAAATAATATAGGTTGTAAGTTATTTATTTAATTCTATTATTACTTATTGTTATAATATTTACATATAATTTAAACTATCTAATTTCTTTATTTAAAAAATTATTAAATAATATAGGGTGTAAGTTATTTATTTAATTCTATTATTACTTATTGTTATAATATTTACATATAATTTAAACTATCTAATTTCTTTATTTAAAAAATTATTAAATAATATAGGTTGTAAGTTATTTATTTAATTCTATTATTACTTATTGTTATAATATTTACATATAATTTAAACTATCTAATTTCTTTATTTAAAAAATTATTAAATAATATAGGGTGTAAGTTATTTATTTAATTCTATTATTACTTATTGTTATAATATTTACATATAATTTAAACTATCTAATTTCTTTATTTAAAAAATTATTAAATAATATAGGTTGTAAGTTATTTATTTAATTCTATTATTACTTATTGTTATAATATTTACATATAATTTAAACTATCTAATTTCTTTATTTAAAAAATTATTAAATAATATAGGTTGTAAGTTATTTATTTAATTCTATTATTACTTATTGTTATAATATTTACATATAATTTAAACTATCTAATTTCTTTATTTAATAGATTGTAAGTTATTTATTTAATTCTATTATTACTTATTGTTATAATATTTACATATAATTTAAACTATCTAATTTCTTTATTTAAAAATATTTATGATCTAGCTTGTAAGTATCTCTATTATTATATATTTTATATAATATCTATTTGTTAATTTAATTCTTTCATTTAAAAAATATCTATTACTTTAGTTGGTAAGTTGTAAATTATAGATTATTAGTATATGTATTTATCCAAAAACTTAAGACTTATATTAAATTAAATTCCTATTTAAATTTTAGAGTAAGCAATAATTTATTTTAGTGTAAATTATAATACAATCCATAATATAATTTTAATACTTTAAATTTATAGATTTGGGAAAAGTGGAAATGCAATTATAGATGATTTTATTCTTGAAAAAGAATTAATATGGATTCCTTATAACAAATTTAAAAATGTTGAATATCTTAATAAAGGAGGATTTGGTACTATATACAAAGCTACTTGGTTAAAGAATAATGGAGATGAAGAAGTAATTCTTAAATGTCTTAAGAATTTAGATGAAAATTTAAATGAATTTTTAAAAGAAGTATGATAGTATATTATTTTCTATTTTTAATTTAAATTAAAATTTATTTATATTTAATAATAATTATTATATTTATAGTGGGAATATCATATAAGTGTTTTAACTTCAAATGATATTATAAATGTTTATGGATTCACAGAAGATACAAATACTTCAAAATATATGGTAGTAATGTACTATGCAAATAAAGGTAATTTAAGAGAAAATCTAACAAGAATAGTCGAAAATAAATGGAATCAAAAATTATATATGTTGTACGAAATTATTTCTGGACTTAGTAGGATACATGGAAATAATCTTATTCATTGTGATTTTCATGATGGTAATATTTTAAATCATAATGATAAGAATAAGGATAAAATTTATATTTGTGATTTAGGATTATGTCAACCTGTAAAATCGTTTTTGAAAAAGTATGATATTTATGGTGTTATGCCATTTATGGCTCCTGAAGTTTTAAGAGGCAAATCTTATACTCCAGCTAGTGATATATATAGTTTTTCTATGATTATGTGGGAATTTACATCTGGGGTACCACCATTTAATAATAAAGCACATGATTTTCGACTTAGTTATAGTATTTGTAAAGGTGAACGCCCTAAAATTATTGAAAATACTCCACAATGCTATGTAGATTTAATGAAAAAATGTTGGAATGAAGATCCATTGAAAAGGCCATCTACCTCAGAAGTGAAAGGTATTATTAAGAATTGGATTATCCGTCCTGATGATAAAATTAATGAAGAATTAAAAAGCAACATTATGGAATTTATAAATGCACCAATTGTGCATAGCGATCTAGCTACTAAATCTCATCCTAAAGCATATCATACAAGTTGCTTACTTGATTTCACTAGTAAAAAATTGAATGAAATTCTTGAAAGTGAAAATTTGGATAATTATATAATTAATGATTTGAAGTTATTAGGTATGCAATATAGTGCATATGAAATTTAATCTTGCAAATTATTTATGTGAAAATAATTTATTTATTTGATTATTAGATATTAAAGCAGTTGAAAATACTAGTGAAAACTTGAATGAAATTCTTGAAAGCGAAGATTTACAAGCTAGTGTAGAAGTAAATGAACAGCTAAGTGAAGATTTGAATGATTATATAATTAAAGATTTGAAGTCATTAGGTATGCAATATAGTGCATATAAAATTTAATCTTGCAAATTATTTATACAAAATTAATTTTATTTTATTATATTAAAACAGATGAAAATTAATGATTTATAGTCTATTTAAAAGTGATATTTGGTATCATGCATTCAACAAAAATTGTTCTTTATTTTATTCTTTTTAGATTTATTTAAACACTAAGGCTAGAGTAGTAAAATGTTTTACAAGTTTCTTAGTTTGTAATTTAAATAATTCCTTTTTTTTTAGCTTATGTATTTATATTCACTTTTTTTATTATACTTAGAATTATTTAAACACTAGGACTAGGTAGTAAATATTTTACAAGTTTCTTAGTTTGTAATTTAAATAAATCTTTTTTTTATTTTAAAACTTTTCCAATTATGATAAATTATCAAAATAATAATTTAAGGCTATTGTTATACTGATTTCTGAAGGTCTGGGAGTAGTAACAGAAGGATAAACAATGATTTTATAACAATCGGTTAACAATCGACAATAAAGTGTAAGGAAATATATAAATAGTGTATATATAATAAATAAATAGACAATAATCGGTAAACAATATATATGTAAAATATCAGTAAATAATGTATATGAACTTGATGACAATTCGGTGGACGTTGATTCATGAATTATAATGATAAAATTAATAAACAGTGTTTTATGAAGAAATCAGAAATGATCAGCGGGTATCTTTATTAACGAACAAACAAATAAACAATATTACTGCCTCAATGTAATATTCCAACTATCCTATTTCTACAATTAATAAACAAAAGCCCAACTGCTTTTTTTATCCTTTGAAAACCACTGTTTATATATCATCCAATATCCGTGACAATTATTGTCATCTGGCCATTTTTGTCCTCCAGCCAATTTTGTTGATCAGCCAATTTTGTCCAATTAAGCCTCAACCGAGCCCTTCCAGCCTCCCTTTTCCTCGATAGAGATGTAAGGCTCAGTGATTAAACTCTTAAGTCAGTTATTTGCTCCATGCCATTTCTTGCCTGTCATATCACATTTATTGAGGATGATGAGTTTTTTGGCATGAACAGCTGCATTGAACCTTCCCATTAATCTTCAAGACGGGTAGTGGAGAGGAAGTTTTCATGACCAAGAATATGTTCTCTGATAAAATCGGTTAAGATATTCTTACTACATCTGGGGAACTGCGCATAATAATTGCTGTACCGGGTTTTTTGTCTGGATTTTGAACCAGAAATGTGAGCCAGTTGAGGATGTATGTGGTTAACTGCTTGTTCTCTGCACATCATACCTCATGAACATGTCGAATTAACTAGGTTCGGTTTGATGTGCTCAGCGGGTTGAACCCTGAAACCTAGGAAGAGATTGAAGAATTCAGGATTATACTTTGGTGCATTTGGGGATAAGGCATGAAATTAACATCTGTATAACAGATCTTTGTGACTGAGGCTTGGATAAGAAGGTCCTTTAACTTGGTGGATGTGGTCATACCATCATCTTCTCCTGCATCTGACCGAATACTTACCTTGTGCTTAGTAGAAATTCCCTTGAAATCTGCAGCAAACTCGAAGTATATGCTTCCATTATAAACCTTCTTTTTTCTGATCCACATGCTGGACTTCATGGTGATGAAAGCCACAGAAGCTGAGATTGCTCCCATTACCTCATCTTCTGATTCCTGTTTATAGTCCCACTAATTATATAAAATTAAACTATACACTTAAAAAAATAAACTATATTTTAAAATAAACTAAAAAAAATAAACTAAAAAATAAACTAAATTAAACAAAAATTTGTGCAACACTATTATTATTTGGTGACCCTGTCATCATGGCGACCCACCTCATATATGTGATTTTTAATTTTTCAGATACTTTATTTTTTCAATATGTATTTTTTTTAATTACTAGTATTCTTAATACTTTTTTTTACGTGTAAAAAATTGAGAAATTTTTAATAATAAACAAACAAATCAATGAATAAATAAATAAATAAGCAAACAATAAACAAATGAATAAATAAATGAATAAAAGCATGAATAAAACAAACAAAACTATTAAAATATAAAAAATGACCACAATTTATATACACTTTATTGAAAATTTTGTTATAATTGATGCTCATATATTGTATGAAATAACATATTGACTCATTTCACTAAGTAATGATTAGGTGATAAAATTAAGGGATATTATCAGGAAATATCTTACTAATATCATGTGATTCAATCGTTTTAGCTAAGAATATCATATGAAATAAAAAAATTTGTCTAGTTGTAAATAAAAGATTTGGCTTTGTGCTTGATGTTTTTGAAGGTAAGTAACAATATCAATTATTAAAATCAAATCTTCTAATTTCTAAATCAAAAAAAAATTTTCTTTGATAATCAAGTAAAATGCCAAACTGATGAGTTATTTAGTGAATATCTAATAGTTCTCCAATTTTTTTTAATTGTTTTTCTTTGAAATCCCATTCTTCGTATTTTCCATCATTCCAAACTGTTTCTAGCTGGTCTGAATGTTCCAATTTGACATTTTTCATATTAAATTATCAATATCATTATTTCCAGATATCTGATTTAAAAAATTTGTTTTTAAATAATTTTGAACACAAAATTCCTGAATTAAAAAGAATTTTATTCTTATCACTAAATTTATATCAATTCCATTCATTATAAGTAGTATATAAATCTCCATTTAATTGTTCTTGTGTTAGACCAAAATATTGGACAACTGTTGAACATTTGTTGCTTATATTTAGCCTATAAAATAATTTAGTTAATAAATAAAATAATTTTAAATATAATTCATGATCCGTCTCCGAACCAGTGAAAACTACTAATAAATTTCGGGGAACTGGTTTTACAAATTAATTATAACTTAAATGGCTTTTGAGCTGATTTTCCCAGAATTTTTTTTTTTTAAGTGTTATATAATAATGTTCTGGGTATATTGAATGATAAATTTGCATCGTCAAATATTAATATCACAAGTTTGATCAACATATACTTGCCATTTAAGGATACGTTATTATACAAATTGGCGATATTGCCTAAAAAGTAACCAGCCAAATTTGTATTACAACCCGGCTGAAAAATAGTTTAACCAATTGCTTAAAACCAAGGGAATCAGGATCCATCAAAAATTTTTACATTGAACGATTAGTTAAAAAATTTTTTCTTTAGCGACGCTGGATTCCGGCCTTTAAAAATGCCATAATTATTCAATACAAGAGGTGTGACAATCACAAAATTGATATTTTTTTATTAAAATGTTATTTATTTGCTGGTAAATAATTTATTTAAAGGTTATAAATAAGAAAAAACAAAAAAAAAAGTATTAAAATTATTTATTTCTATTAAACACAGGTCGTACTATATTTTGCTTATATTGAGTAGTGTATCTAGTAATTTTGGGGTTCGGTATATTTCACCGAAAATCATTTCACTGACAATCAACTTACCGACAGTCATTTCACCGAAAATCATTTCACCGACAGGGTTATTTCACTGAAAATCATATCACTGAAAATCATTTCACCGAATTTTAATCTTTTACCATAATTCGATAACTGATAACATAGCCACAATTATTAATTTAATATTCAATAGTTTTTTATTGTAAAAAAATGGGGAGTCTGGTTCGAGCAATAAGGATTAACAATGGTTAATCATGTTTATTTTTTTTTTTAGATATTTCGTTATTAACGTAATATTTTTTATATTTCATCCATAGGAGTCATTTTATACCTTTTATAGTAGATTACATTAAACCTTTTAACAATTTAGAATAGAGTGAACCACTCCACCTCTGACAGTATTTACAGGTGGCAACCATTAGGGTTGAAAGAAAAATACGGATTATTTACGTGATTGTTTTATGTATAGTAGTTTTTTACAAATCGTTGTCACAACCTACTACTAGATTATCCTGAACCTTTCTTGTTCTTGTCTATTCAGGCTTGGTCAGAGCTCTGAATAGTTTTTTTCTTTTTTCTTTTTTCTAGTAAGGGTCCGCTCCATATTGATTTGGACAAACTGAAGTTATTCGTTAGAATAGTGATGTGATTTTCATTGTAATTCTCCTTACTATCCATAAAATAAAATAAAATAAATAAATAAATTGTTTATAATGCTATTTTTTTTTGTATTTTTTACTGATATTTTAGTTGTCAGTAAAATGATCCTGTCGGTGAAATGATTTTGTCAGTGAAATGATCGTTGGTAAAACAACTGTAGGTGAAACGACCCTGTCGGTGAAATGACTGTCGGTAAGTTGATTGTCGGTGAGATGATTTTCGGTGAAATAAATGCATTCCGTAATTTTGCAGTTCTTCTAAACTACTTTTCTCTAATAATTTGTAAGTTCATTTCACATTTCCTGCGTGCTATATCTATTGCTCTTATCTGAATTTCCCACTAAATTAATTTGCAAAATAATTCCCCAAAATGTATTAGTAGATTTCACTGGTTTGGAGACGGATCACGAAATAAGTTCTCTAGGTATTTATGTCAGATAATAAACCTCTTCAAACCATCTTTGATTTGCACTTTCAACATTTTCTAATTTCCTTAAGTATTACATTATGTCTTCCATCCATTATATTCCATTAATCCAAACTCCTGTATAAATTTCAGAAAATCTACCTTTTGTCAAATATTTGTATATTTTCAAAATTATAATAAGGAATCCATTCAATTATTCCTTCTGGCTCAAATGTTTTCCAATTGACATTTTTGTATTAAATTATTAATATCATTATTTTTAGAAGTCCAATTTGAAAATTTTGTTTTTAAATAATCTCTAATATAAAAATTCATAATATAATATAGCTAAACATTCTTTATTACAATTTTCACAAAATTCTTTTTGTTTCCTGAATTAGTAATAACTTTATTTCGATCATAAATTTTATATAATTCTTTTATTGCTTCAGTTTTTTCAAATTATGTAAGAGATTTGTCAGCAAGGAGTATTTTCGAAATTCATGTTGTTTATGTATGTCATTATTAACATTATAATTTGCTATTACAAGTAATTTATTTAGTGCCGCATAAATTGCTTCTCTTTGAATAGAAGACATAATGCAACTTTTATATAGAAAATGTAAAGAAAAGTTGCCATTTAACGGAAATATGGAGGCTTGGACTGAAAATTAATTGTTACACAAGTTTAACACCCAAAAAAATAAAAACACAAGTTGATAATTATACTGCGCAATATGTTAAAAATTTTAAAATTGAAACGAATTATAAAAAACTCCAAATACTGTGAGTTAATGTAGGAGTAGTGCTCCTACCGGGTCGGATTCGGTCGGGTTTGGAGAATATATCCGACTCGACCCGGCAAAAATAGAAATGATCCGATTTTGACCTGACCCGAATATATTTAATTCGAATAACCCGGGTTAGACCCGAAATTTAGTAATTTTCAATATATATATTGGATAATATACTGTACACTTAGTAATATATCAGAAATATTTTTTTCAAATATAATTTTTTCATTAATGCAAGGCAATTGATCTACAAGATAATCATATAGGTCTCTCAACTTTTTATTATTAGAACTAATGCTAAGCACGAATTTAACGATATATATCTTCAATTCCTATTTTATATTTGAACTATAAAATCGAAATTGTATCACTTGCTTTAACAAAAATTTGACTATATTTTGTGTCTGCCAGGACTTAAAGCAGATACAATTAGAACATGCATGTGTTTAAAAACTACATCCTTTTGCAGCTATCAAATCGGTTCCACTGGAAAATACTCTTTCTACTGGGCTTTATTAATCATCAAAATCAACTTATTAGTTAATATAATGTTAATAATTAATAATAATAATTTATATACATACCTGTAATTGCAAGGTAGTCTCTAGCCATTTTCGCTAAGTGGGGATATACTACCTCATTTGTCTAACAATATCATATAAACGTAATCAATATTAACACGTAATCAATATGTGATCAGTGATTTTAATTATCATCCGGGTCTAATTCGGGTCAAAACCCGAGTCAAGGAAATGAATGACCCGACCCGACGGGTTGGGTCATGCGGGTCACGGGTTATTAAAATTGTTAATACCGACCCGATTTAAAATTCACTCGGGTTGAATTATCCGGGTTAGACCCGAATTTTGCGGAGCACTATGTAGGAGGAATATGTTTTAACTCGTGTCAGATATATTGGTAAAAGAAACTCTAATGATGAGATTTTAGTTCATGTAAATTAAATGGTTACGATTCTGGTAAAGTATATCATCAAGAAGTATTTGTATTATTATTTAATTTATGATCACATATTTTTGTTTCAACCAGTTATGAAAGTAAAAAAAAATAATGTTTATTCTCTAAATAAGTATAGTTTTCCACTCATTAAGAATAAAATCATGTTATCATTTCCAGTATTTTCCACTATGAAAAGACTTTAATAAAAATATATACATGTATCTCTCTTGTATAATATTTCTCACGCACTTATGTTAGCTAAAATTTGATATCAATGTATTAATATAAAAATATCGAATGATAAAGCGAGTTTAAAAAAACATTTTTTTGTACATGGAGCGATTGTTGATTGAAGTGTTATGAATAACTGTGTTACGATACTTAAATTTATCCCTTAAACGGTAAGACATTGCAGGCAAATTTTCCTGCAATTTACCGAAAATTCAGTTCTCATCTAGTTTTATGAAAAATGAAGTTATTCTAATAAAATTTTTTTTTTGCAAAGAGATTAAATCATAATTTATGTGGCAATAATCATTATTTATTAATTTCATATTATAAGATTGAAGATTAACTATTGGACAAAAGTTGTGTTTTTTAAAATGACAAAAAATTTGAAAAATTTTGCATTCAACTTTGACGATCTCATTGGGATTTGATTATGGCTATATTAAAGCTTAATAGAATATGTAGAATTTGCTATAGGGAACAACTTTTATTAATATGATTTATAATGTTTAGAAGTGACAATTTGACTTTACATAGAACCCTAAAAAAACATTATTTTTGTGAACTTGTAAAAAATGCATAAAGTTAAATTTTATCATCTCTATTTTGTTCATTAGAGTTTGAAGTTTCATAATAAATTAATAAAATATATTAAAATACTTTGTAATGAAGCAGAATGTTATGGTAAAGAAAATTAATTTATTATATAAAAATTCCGATGTTATTTTTTGAGGTTAATTTGCGTCTAATTTTGGTGATTAGCCACCATACCAAACTATACAATTGATGCTAAAAATGTAGATCAATATAGCTGCGGAATTATAGGATAATCCAAATCATATTGAGTTTGGATATAATTCATTTTAAAAAATTGCAGGCAAATTTGCCTGCATTACCGTTTAAGGGATAGTTTTTATTCACATATTTAATATAAAGTAGTTACAAAGTCTAATTTTTAAAAATAGTACAAAAATTTAAAAATTTTATTATAATTTTTGTATAATAAATTAAATTAATTAAAAATTATGCGGTTATAATTTAGGCGGCTGTTATTATACCTTCTTGTAGTAAACCATGTGATTAGACGATCTATGATCACGTTAATAATTTTACCGCGAATTTTATAGTGCACATTAAAGTATATATTTATTGTTATGAAAATAAACTAAATATTTATAATTTAATTGGAAATTGTGAGAATTATGTCCATACTGATGGTAAAGAGTACATTTCTCACCAACACGAATGAGCTCGTTTGTCATTTGACTTTCATTTTTCAATGAATGGCGTAATAAAATTAATGAACTGCTTAACGTGATTGTAGATCATGATTTATTACAGGGGAAGAGGATACGAATAACAAAAGTTGTGACTAGGGGTACGAATAATAGCTCCATAATTTATAGTATATTTAATCACCAGGTCATTTTGGCACAATAGCAAAGAATATTTTGCGAGTTTCTTACTAAAGAAAATTTATTAAGGCGTAGAAAGTTGGTAATAATAAAACAAATTATTTTGAATTAATTAATGTATTTAGTGTAATATAATTACGCCCACCATTTTGTGACAGATACTCAATTGAAATTAATATTTTAATACTTGAAAAAATCGACTATAAAAACAATAAGTTAAATTTATTATGAGCTGTATGTAGTATTTGCTAATCTTATTATAATAATACAATAAAAAACATGTTAAAAATAATCTTATATATAAATTACTAAATAAATTTTATGACTAAAAGAAATAGATTCAAGTGTACGTACAAATTATAATGATTTTAATTAATCAAAATAATAACCTATCGCTTCCTTTTCTTGATGGCACCCGATATTAATTGGTTAATTTGACTATGTTAAACGTTCAGAAAATAAATTAGATTTTTTTGCTAGAGTTTCTTCAGAGAAATATAATTTCAGTTAGTTCAATTCCGGAAAAAATTTCGTACAATGGACAAATTTTTATATATTCTATTAACTATTAGAATTTCGAACGTCAATTTTTATCACATTTAAATGTGAAATATTCATAACTTTGAAGGAGTTATTTCTACTACCAATAAAAAGATCTAATCAGATCCTATGTAGTGTACCTGCATTAAACACCACTGAAAGAGGTGCTATATATAACCAACAAGAGCGTCTTCATTCGTCTTCTATGGATTAGTACGTTATGACATTTATCCAGTAAATAACAAAACTCAAATAATAATTGTCATACGGATCCGTTATTATTGCATGATCATCCTGTAACAGAGCTAACTTAAAATTTAAATTCACGTGAGTTCTACAAAATCACAAATTGAAATAGAACTTAGTAGGATTTGAAGATATTATAAGTTCACGTACCCATTCAGCAGGAATCGAATAGTGAAATTTTAAAGTAGGCCACCATATCGAAAATGAATTATATGATTATTTCTGACTGGCCAATATATATTATCTTTTCTATATATATATTATTTTTTGTGTATAAATTATATGTATAATTATCTTACTACTGTACAAGTTATGCTACAACAAAAGTGTATAGTAATTTTGATGGACTTAGATTATACGTTAATATTTTCGGTAATATAAAATTAATTATTTTTAATAAATTCTAGCATCCAATTATCTGACTGATGTAATACCTTTTATATATATATATGTTTATGCGTTCAAAATAAGGGTTTAAAAATATGATTAGCAATTTATTTGGATGTACGTTAGTGATAGTATGCTTTTGGATGATAAATTTCTGACGATCATCTTCCAAATTTATTCACTTTTTCGCTTAATTTGTAGTTTGTCATACGATCTACATGCATTTTTTCATAATTTCGGAAATGCTCAATGTGAACTTTTTTGATTCAATTTTATATAGCTATATATCTGTCTCTTATACACATCTAGATGTGTATAAGAGACAGATTATATATATATATATATATATATTTTTTTTCACTCGCGTAAACGCGAAACTTCTTTATTAAAAATGTAAAAAGCGCACTAGTTACAAAATTAACATCAAAGAATCACATTGAAGTAACCAATGTCAAGCACTGATTTAACCTCTCCATACCAGGCGCTTCGGCCTACCGCTCGGTCAACCCACAATCCCTTTAAATACTACACAACTACAAGAAAAAGAAAACTATCTATCTATAAATTATATTTAACTATTTAAAATATACAGTAACTATATTAAGTGAAACTACTTCTTTTTAACTAATCTACGTCTACCTCCTCTACCTCATCCGCGACTACCTGGTTTTCCTCCTCTTTTGTTATGCGCTTCTATACTTACCACCACTTGATCTTCTTCTTCTTCATCACTATCACTTTCTATTCCTTCTTCCTCTTTTACACGGTCACCTTGTGTCTTTCGTAGGCGTTTCCGTTCTTCTTGTGCTTTTTCTATGAGCTTCTGTACTTTTCACGGTCCGCACGTAGAGCCTCCATAACTTCTTGAGAATGAATCGGTTTTTTTATCTCTAGCCTCTTGCTACATGTTTCATTTATCGATTCATACTCATGTAATTCTAATGGTGATACCTGTTTAGTATTTTCGTTGGATTTTGCTAGCTTATCCAGCATTTTTTGATTTTCATTCACTTTATTATTAACTACTTCCAATTCTTTATTTAGCGTATCACGTTCCAACCTTACTTCGTCCATCTTCTTTTTTTTTTCTTTCAGATCTGTAACTAACGCGGCATACCCATTTCTACATCGGTCAATCCACTTTTCATCCTCTTTTTCATCATGTGACAACTCTTTGTTGATTTCTGCTCTCAAATCCAAAACTATATCTACAACTTTCTCTGGCGAGGCGTAGTCTTTTATTGATGTTGATGCGACATTTTGTGGAGATTCATCTAATAAATTCTTCCTATATTTATTTACTACATCAACCACCTCGTCTGTACTAATGTTATCTATAATTGTTGATTTGGCTATAGGTTGTATTTTCGTTGCAGGCGTTGCTTTTCCATTATATCTTGGCGTAGTGCTGACCAAATCACTACGTGAGTCCCTTTTTGAGATCTCTACCGGTTGATTGCCCAAACCCTTATCATGAATAATCCAAGTATCGACTGCTCCTTTGTCCAATGCCTTAGCTGCGTCCAACTGATTTTTATCTTTAAAGTATGCAAGGAATACTAAGTTTTTTCCAAAACGCGCCATTTTGCCATACTCAAAAGAGTAATTTTTCTAGCTACGTCTTGATAATAACTTGAACGAATTATTTTGTATGCCTTCCGCTTACATTTTTCTTTTATAGATTTGACTGTACTTTGTCCTGGAAACCAACGAACTTGCATCGTTGTTTGTTTCTTTTCACTATTTCCAAATAAAAGTTGTACCTTCCACGTTTCTCTAACAAACTCACTTTCGTATTCATCAAATAAACTAATTTCAGCTCTTACCGATTGGTATTTATAGTGCTTTTTAATCCTTATTCTGTGAACATTTCCTATATTTTTGATGGCTGAAATAACTTCACTTTCACTATACCGGTGTAAACGGTCGAATATCAAGCACGAAAAGATGATAAAATTCAACCACCAAATGTAATTATTAAATATTAAGAACGAACAAATTAATTATGGATTGGCGTAGATGGATAAATAATTAGCCGAAAAGGATAAACATTTAGGAAGAGTAATAGGAATCCCATAATTTTTACGAACTCAAATTTTTGGTGATATATAAACTAAGTGATATCTATAATGTTGATAAACATTTAGGAAGAGTAATGATCTACATGATGTAATATTTATTGAATGATTGACAAGGAACCAATAGGATAAATAGAGTCGATCAATTGCGGCTTAGCAATCTTTAACAATAAGAACGATAAGAAAGAATAATTATAAGCCACAAAAGATAGATTATAAGCAAAACACATAAAGCGAATTAAAAGAACATATAGAATAATGTCAGAAAGATTAAAGAACACAAAATAATGTAAAAGATAATATAAAAAGATAGTATAAAGATGGAACGTGAAAGATAATATATTAAAAAGAACATATATAAAAAGATAGCATATTAAAAGATAGCATATTAAAAGATAGCGTATTTAAAATATAGATAGTATATTAGAAAAATAGTTCAAAGATAATATGTAAAAAGAACATAAAAGATAGTATATAGACAGAATAGAGAGTAGCATAAAAATTGTATATATAGAGAGCGGAATTCAAAGTAATTCCACAGTTCTCATCCACAGAACTCAATAAAAATATAAGTTAAATTTAATTATTTGTTAATGAAGTATAATATTAATTAAAGGTAATAGGTTCGCCCTAAACTTTAATTAATGTTCGCTTAATTAATTTTAATTGAATAAAATGGAAATTTAAGATGAATTAAATATACAATTTTGAAAAGTAATAATTCGTAGAGAGAGCTATCGAAGTTTGTAATTAAAGGTAAAAGTGGATATAATTTGGGGAAAATTTGGAGAAGTTAAATTTTATTTTATATCGTTTGATGTTTTATATTACTAACGCTATTTATGTCGTGAACCAAGAATGTTGTTGTACATTGTTCGTTAATTATATTGTTTGTTAATTATGTTGTTGATTAATCGCTTGTTCGTTTAATTGTTCGTTTGTTCGTTTGTTCGTTCGTTCGACCATGAGAATGCCCGTTCGATGTGGCAACTCTGTAAATTGATGACAGAGGGAATTGGGGGATCTCACCGGCTTGGTATATCGTAAAACATTATGTCACGTGATGTTGCACATACGCCCCTTGAATTTTGTACGATAGGCTGTTGATCGTCCGGTGCAGGTAGTGCAACTTCATCAGCAAGTTTGAAAAGCGTTGATTCACACCAGTATACGCGTTGATCAACACCAGCTAGTTGTTCAACATGATTAACAATATTAATCAACACCCATATATTGGAGTATATCAGCGCATAATGTTAATATACGCGTCGTTCAACTCTAATTTATAGTGCAACACATTATGCATTGTTGTTCAACGCACTGAATATTAACGAATATATATGATTACATGTGTATATTTTAATTAAATTATATTTATTTATTTATTTTTACTCACCTAAGGAACCAAACCGGTTACCTCAACTTACAATATCATATCTCACGATCTAACCACTGTACTATTTAATTTAAGTATAATATACATTTATTAAAATTAGTATTTAAAAAAAAAATCATTTCGTCAATACTATAATGGCCGTACTCTATATCACATGTATCACGTGATACTGGATTACCGCTGCGGACTGCGGTATAGCAAAAAAAGAAATTAAGCTTTTTTTAGCAAAGCTTAATTTTTTTTTGCTTTTCTTCGTTCTCCCCTTCCCTTTCGTTTTCCCATTACCCCTTCGTTCTCCCC